GGGGTGAGAGTCGTGGCTCCGGGAGGTGTTGGGAACGCCGTCTCTCTCTCAACATGTCGTCAAGACGGATGGACGTGATGATGAGGGTATCAAGGTCCATCTCGTCGTCCTGACATGCGAGTTCCATCTTAATGTCCTCCTGTAAGACTCTCCTGAAGGCCGTGAACAAAGCATGCTCATTCCAGCCGAAAGACACAGCCACTGTGCGAAAGCTCAGAGCGTACTAAGACGCAGGCCCCTCTCTCTGTTGTAGATGGAGGAGACGCTCACCCCCGTCCTTCCCTCCGTGGGATGATCAAACACCGCCCTGAACCGAGCGAGGAAGGTGGAGTAAGGAAGCGCCACTTTCTCCTCTCTTTCCCAGACTGCCGTGGCCCAATCAGGCGCCTATCCTTTAAGTAGCGAAATCACCAGTGCTATCCTGGCTTGGTCAGATGGATATGCCCCAGGCTGACGCGCCAGATAAAGTGAAACCTGTAGCAGGAAGCCGCTACATTTAGTAGTTTTACCGTCATAGCGCTCCGGTAGGGCGAGGGTTCCCTCAGAAGTGGGTGATAGCACGGGAACAGGTGGATTGGATGCACTCGCCGCTCCCTGAGGTGGAACCGTAGCGCTGGGCAGATTATGCAGAGTTTGGAGCACTACCTACATGGAGGCGTTCAACTGGGCAAGCTGCTGCTGGTGCTGGTTGAGGCACTGGGAAACTCCTGCTGCAGAGGAGGTAAGAAGGGTTCTCAGGAAGCCAGGGTAGGCTGTGGAGAAGAGCCGCTTGTAGCAGGGTTACTGAGAGTCTGGGGGGTTACCGTAGTGGCTTGCTGCCTAGTAGATAATCCACGGAATTGCTCCAGCAATGCATTGAAACCGTGATCCTGGCGTTCCACCAAGTCCTTTCATAAGGTTTTGAAGTAGCTCCTCGTGCCTTCCGATGGTAGCTCCTTGGGAGGAGACAGCATTGCGAAGCGGGTCCGAGTCTGCTGGGTCAGTCATGGCCAGCTCGTACTATCACGACTCAAGACATGACCCAGATGCAGACACAGGAGGCGGATAGTTCGATTATCTGAATATTTAATATAACAAAGGGGCAGGCAAAAGGCAGGTTGAGGGCAGGCAGAGGTTCGTAAACAAGGTCAGAGTCAGGCAGGTACAAGACGGCAGGCAGGCTCAGGGTCAGGAGAGGCAAAAAGGTCAGAACCGGGAAGACTAGAAAACAAAACTGGAGAAAAGGAGAAACGGGAAACACGCTGGTAAGACCTCACAAAACAAGATGAACTGGCAACAGTTTTACCTGGGGTATCAGCCAGCCCTGTCTCTGTGAACCCTGAGCCAAACCAAAGCTCCTGAGGTGGACGATTGGTTCAGGTGGACGAGTGGTTCACTGCCACCGCAGTGAGGCTCCTGTGTTCCATCCTGGTGATCGCGTCTGGCTCTCCACCAGGAACCTCCCGCTCCACCTGCCCTGTAGGAAGCTGAGCCCCCAGTTTGTGGGGCCCTTCAAGGTCCTCCGGAGGGTCAACAAGGTAACCTATAGATTACAACAACACACTAACTACAGAATCGCACCCTTTTTCATGTTTCCCCCCTCAGGCAGTTGGTTCCTTGTCCCCTGGATGGTGCCGTCTCCCACGACACCCCTCCACCTCACCTTGACATCGATGGGAGCCCCGCCTATGCCGTCAGGTCCCTCCTGAACTTCCGACGTCTTGGGGGCTGGCTCCAGTACCTGGTTGACTGGGAGGGGTATGGTCAAGAGGAGCGCTTTAGGGTCCCGGGGGACGACATCCTGGATCCCAACATCGTCCGGGATTTCCACCTCCGCTACCCGGACCGGCCCGCACCTCGCCCTCGGGGCCGTCCCCCTGGCCGGCGTCGTCCTGCGGCTGGAGCCGCGCGTCAGGAGGGGGGTACTGTCACTCCTACTCCTACTCTCCCGCTCCGGCACTCAACGTCGCCGGTCTACTAACCTCCGGTCCTAGCAACCCACATTACGCACAACTGGCAACCATCATTGCGCACACCTGCTCTCCATCGTTACGCACACCTGGACTTCATCATCACCCTGATTACTCTGCCTTTATTTAGCCCTCAGTAGCCTCAGTCTTCAAGCAGTATTGGTTTTGTTTACATTCAGTACACTAGTCCTGTTTTGATTATCTTAATGTTTCTTATTATTAAACTCACCATCTGCACCTGCTTCCTGACTCCCTGCGTATACGTTACACTCCATTTTCCCCTCATCAATCTACATACAATACCCCATAATGACAAAGCAAAAACAGGTTTTTAAAAATGTTTACAAATGTATTAAAAATAAAAAACATAAAAACCTTATTTACATAAGTATTCAGACCCTTTGCTATGAGACTCGAAGTTGAGCTCAGGTGCATCCTGTTTCCATTGATCATCCTTGAGATGTTTCTACAACTTGACTGATGTCCACCTGTGGTCAATTGATTGGACATGAATTGGAAAGGCACACACCTGTCTATACAAGGTCCCACAGTTGACAGTGCATGTTAGAGCAAAAACCAAGCCATGAGGTCGAAGGAATTGTCCGTAGAGCTCCGAGACAGAAACATTTCTGCAGCATTGAAGGTCCCCAAGAACACAGTGGCCTCCATCATTCTTAAATGGAATAAGTTTGGAACCACCAAGACTCTTCCTAGAGCTGGCCGCCCGGCCAAACTGATCTATCAGGAGAGAAGGGCCTTGGTCAGGGAGGTTACCAAGAACCCGATGGTCACTGACAGAGCTCCAGAGTTCCTCTGTGGACATGGGAGAACCTTCCAGAAGGACAACCATCTCTGCAGCACTCCACCAATCAGGCCTTTATGGTAGATTGGCCAGACGGAAGCCACTCCTCAGTAAAAGGCACATGACAGCCCACTTGGAGTTTGCCAAAAGGCACCTAAAGGACTCTCAGCCCATGAGAAACAAGATTCTCTGGTCTGATGAAACCAAGATTGAACTCTTTGGCCTGAATGCCAAGCGTCATATCTGGAGGAAACCTTGCACCATCCCTACGGTGAAGCATGGTGGTGGCATCATCATGCTGTGGGGATGTTTTTCAGCAGCAGGGACTGGGAGACTAGTCAAGATCGAGGGAAAGATTAACAGAGCAAAGTACAGAGAGATCATTGATGAAAACCTGCTCCAGAGAGCTCAGATTGGGGCGAAGGTTCACCTTCCAACAGGACAACAACCCTAAGCTCACAGCCAAGACAATGCAGGAGTGGCTTCGGGACAAGTTTCTGAATGTCCTTGAGTGGCCCAGCCAGAGCCCGGACTTGAACCCGATCTAACATATCTGGAGAGACCCGAAAATAGCTGTGCAGCGACGTTCCCCATCCAACTTGACAGAGCTTGAGAGGATCTGCAGAGAAGAATGGGAGAATCTCCACAAATACAGGTGTGCCAAGCTTGTAGCGTCATACCCAAGAAGACTCGAGGCTGTAATCGCTACCAAAGGTACTTCAACAAAGTACTGAGTAAAGTGTCTGAATACTTATGCAAATCTGATATTTCCGTTTTTTATTTGTTATAAATTTGCAAAAATTTCTAAAAACCTGTTTTTGCTTTGATATTATGGGGCATTATGTGTAGATTGATGAGGGACAAAATGTATTGTATCCATTTTAGAATAAGGCTGTACTTTACGAATGCACTGTATAGGACCTTCCACCCCCACCTGGGATCTGGATGCCTGATGAAGACCTAAAGGTCGAACCATCATAACAATAAAATTACCTGGGAGCATGAAGAATCCAGCCACACAGCCATTCAGTTATTTTTATACACGCGTGAACAAGCATGCTTACGCTGGAAATAGAACGCATGGAAGTCAATGAGAGAAAACAGACGAGTCGCGAGCATCAATGGTGTTACAGGCAGCAAGTCAATTTTTCTTGCATCTATGTGGAGCAATGCTGGTAAAATGAGCTGTCAGAAATTGACTGTTTGTGCATTGATACCTCTGGAATTGTAAAATGTATAGTTAAAAAGTTTAACTGCAAGCCTACATGATGTATAGGCTAATCTCGGAAACCCAGAACTAAAATCTTGCATAACTGACTCAGATGCTTGATTAAGTTCTGGGGGGAGATGTGTTAGAAAATATACTAGAACGAGGAGTGGAAGCAGCGTGGTAGCTCCACCCCCATCTCTCTGCAAGTTTCAGGCAAATCTATGGGCCAAATTTCCCTCTCCCCTTCAGATATTTCAAAGATGCGAGCACCTGCAAAACCGGGATTTGTCAAAATGATCAGTAATGGTAAATCTGCGCACAGGTGTTATTATAATGATAGTTTGTCGACACTTATGGTTTGTCTGGACTTGTGGCTCGATAGCTTAGGTCTACAGCTCTATCTGGTTGTCGCGTCAGGGACTACAGTTGTTGAGAACTGTACCATTTTAGCTAAGCGTAACCCCAGGTAGCTTAGTGGTTCAGAGCGTTGTGCCAGTAACCGAAAGGTCGCTGGTTCTAATCCCCGAGCCGACTAGGTGAAAAATCTGTCGATGTGCCCTTGAGCAAGGCACTTAACCCTAATTGCTCCTGTAAGTCGCTCTGGATAAGAGCGTCTGCTAAATGACTAAAAATAATAATAATAAAAAACACTTTTCCTAACCTGCTACGTTTGTTCTCCTAACCTGCTGCGTTAGTTCTCCTAACCTGCTATGTAAACAAACCATCAGTATCACCACACCGGATACTGTTCCACAAGTTCCTCGTTAGTCGTCAGACGCTATGGTACCATTAATGTTACATACGTCTGTCCACGAGAAATATTGAGGAATGAGGTAAAGTCAATTCAGTGTTTTAAATTTAAAATTCAAACAATTGAAAAACATTTTACATTATTTGCTTATCCTTTATTGAGAGTAGATGGTCTTTTTTCAATTATTGAATAGGAGTTTCAGTTTACTTCCTGAATTGACTGTCTTTAATGCAAATTTAGCCCAAACCCGCCCTCCACACCATCCCCGCTTCCCTGTCCTCCCTACCCCTATCTTCCCTGTCTGAGCCCCTGCCACAGCCTCCTGTGGAGCTCCTGTCTCAGGAGGTCTCGCTCCTTGCGGATGCCCTGCAGCACGGTCCGGTTCTCCTGGGCACGGCGCACCAGGTAGGGCAGGGTGTCGTCCACCGAGCCATACGGCACCGACTTGTACACCGAGTAACCCTGCTGGGCTAGGGGGAGGAGATAGGGTGGAAAAGGGGGAAAGGTGGAGAAAAAGAGACACAGACACAAAGGACAGAGAGAGACAGAGGGAAAGGACAAGGAGATAAAGAGAGGTGGTTGAAGGGATAGAGAGGGGACAGGAGAAAGAGAGAGAGAGGCAGGAGAGAGGAACAGAGAAAGGACAAATAAGTAAAGAGGGAGGGGTTAGAGAGGATGGGTGGGAGAGAGGAGAGGAAGAGGAAAGGATAGAGAGAGGCAGAGAAACAAGGAAAGATGGATAGGGGAAGAAAAAAAGTGAATAATATTCACAAAACTATCTTAATGTGTGTAGCTAAGCAAGGTAAGGCAGAATAGGGACTTGAGTTTCTTTGACGATACACTTGAATATAAGTTGAATTTGAAGGGAGAAAGGATGCTTACCGAGAGTGAGAGACACATGGTCACACATCCCCAACAGCTGACCAAAACACACAGATCCACCATCTTTGTCTATTCCCAGCTCTCCCATCCTTAGGACAGATGTCACAATACCAATTCAATGTCATGTAATGCATGTGCTGCATTAGTGGCTTTACAGAACTTTTGCCTCACGGGGTGCTCTTGAGCCAAAAGAGGGTCCCCTAAATGGACAGGAATATTTCTAAATTTGAGGTAAGAAATGAATAAATAAACTTCCGCACAGCCTCTTAAAAAAAATTAAGTGAATGATATAAATAATCTTACCGTTGAACTGCACGCCTTACGGACTCCTCGTTGTGCGTGGCAACTATGATCCGATAGCGCTCAGGGTCCTGGGAGATGAGTTCCAGCAGGATGTCCAACGAGCCGTTATAACTACAGGAGCACAACAACATTATGGAGATACACAGTGGCATGTTGTGACATAGCATTATCATATCAATGATAGTTCTAAATGAACATATCATAACAAGACCTTTAATGGTTAAAAATATTCCCAATAATCTATCCTTTCTCGCGAAATGTGCACTTGTTCACTTCCATTCATGGATTTCAAATGAAAGGACTGGTATAAGAGATATGGTGGAAACTCCCTCTAATCCAGGCTAACACCAATCCAGTGCTTAATTTGAGACGGATCCTGCCGGAACAGGATCCGGCACCTCTCAGATTTTACTTTGTTTGTTCCAGCACCTCTCGAGGCATGATTCATTGTTTCACTATTCGCACTGTAGACATTCTAATAAAAGCGATCAGTGTTAAATCAAGTTGCCTCCTCGTTATTTCTCCCACCCCCCAGAAAGACCATCATGCAAAAGCACGTGACCAGTCTGTGTAATCATCCTTTCCTGCTACACTGATTCCAGACCTGCTCTCTTATTTGTACATAGAGGTTATGGGGAGGGCCGGTGGGGTAAGTAACTGATCTTGACACTTATCTTGGCAGTGGTGGTCAGCTAGTCGTCTCCCTACTGAATTTGAATCGTGGGAAAGCCTATTAAAAAATGGATAAGAAAAGGCAATCGAGTTTGATTACATTTTTCAAGTCCAAAAATCCAAAGAAAGATGGTGAATCGAACCCAGAACGAGCCAGAGAACTGTCAGTGCCGGAGGACAGGAGTGAGGGTGTCACGATCGTCGTTAGATGAAGCGGACCAAGGCGCAGCGTAATAGCCGTACATTTTTTATTGAAGTAAACACACGAACAAAACAACAAACCAAACGATACGTGAAGTCCTAGGTTAACACCAAAACAAACCTTACGGAACAAGATCCCACAATAAACAGTGCCAAACAGGCTGCCTAAGTATGGTCCCCAATCAGAGACAACAAGCTACAGCTGCCTCTGATTGGGAACCACCCTGGCCAACATAGAAATACACGAACTAAAACAAAACATAGAAAATAACACATAGAAAATCCACACCCTGGCTCAACATATGAGTCCCCAGAGCCAGGGCGTGACAGTACCCCCCCCCCCAAAGGCGCGGACTGCGACCGCGCCAGCCAAACACAAGAGGGTAGGGGCCGGGAACAGGTCGGACCGGGCTAGCGACGCGCACCACAGGCTTGGTGCGACGGACAGGAACAGGCCGGACCGGGCTGACGACGCGCACCACTGGCTTGGTGCGGGGAGCTGGAACGGGCCGGACCGGGCTGGCGACGCGCACCACAGGCTTGGTGCGAGGGACAGGAACAGGCCGGGCTGGACTGTGGAGACGGACTGGAGGTCTGGAACGGAGAGCTGACACAACCCGTCCTGGCTGAATGCCTATTTCCACACACTCTGTGTGAGGCATCAGCACAGGACGTACAGGGCTGTGCACTCGTACTGACACTACAGCACGTGGCACTGGCGCAGGATATCCGGGACCGAGGAGGGGTACTGGCTGCATGCCCACCTTAGCACGACACGTGCGTGGTGCTAGCACAGGACGTACAGGACTGTGCCGGAACACTCGCGGCACAGTACGTAGCTCTGCATAACTCGGAACCTGCCCAGTCTCATGCTGCCTAGCCTGAGTACGGGGAGTTGGCTCTGCTCTACCTCTAGGCTCCGCCAACCACCCTTCCAGCCCCCCAAACCTGGTAGCCTCCTCTCCTAAATCGCTGATGCGCCCTGTAGCTGCCTCCAGCAGCCCCGTCGTCCATGCCGTGTGCCCCCCCCAAATGTTTTATTGGGGTTGCCTCTCGCGTGTCCGTCGTCGGCACGGTTGGTGCCGTTTCTCCTCTCTTGCCAGGGCCTGTACCTTAGCCCAGGGCCCTCTGCCCGCGAATATGTCCTCCCATGACCACCATTCGCCCACCTGAGCCATCGCCAGCTTCTCCTCCTGGGCACGCTGCTTGGTCCTTTTATGGTGGGATCTTCTGTCACGATCGTCGTTAGATGAAGCGGACCAAGGCGCAGCGTGATAGCCGTGATAGTCAATCTTTTATTGAAGTACACACACGAACAAAACAACAAACCAAACGATACGTGAAGTCCTAGGTTAACACCAAAACAAACCTTACGGAACAAGATCCCACAATAAACAGTGCCAAACAGGCTGCCTAAGTATGGTCCCCAATCAGAGACAACAAGCTACAGCTGCCTCTGATTGGGAACCACCCTGGCCAACATAGAAATACACGAACTAAAACAAAACATAGAAAATAACACATAGAAAATCCACACCCTGGCTCAACATATAAGAGTCCCCAGAGCCAGGGCGTGACAGAGGGGCAAACTGTTCCTGATGGCGATGCCTTAATTCAGCATCACCACCGGCACCTCCACTAGCTAATAGGCCTACTAGTGAGTCAGACTCAGCGGGAGAGGGAGACATGGAGTTGGGGGGGTGGGGGGCAGTGCATCCACCGACGAAGTGCTCGGAGCAGGTGCAATTTGCAGTTCAAGAACAAGCAAACGTATAACCCCTGGCTTGTCATGCAGAATTAATAGTTGGGCTGTACAACATGCAAAAAGGTAGGGAGCTTGGGTCTAGAAACGACTGGAGTGATTAAACTAGCAAAAGAGTGGGTGGAATGTGCAGTAAATTAACATCCTCTGCCTCAGACATAAAAAAACAACAACAAAGAGCCCTCAGAAAAAAGGTTTTTGAACATGCCCGAAGCAAGGCACATTTGGTGGCAGCAAGCCTTGTAGACAAGGCTAAAGAGGACACCCAGGATATAGTTAAAACTCAAAATGAAAAAAATAGACACTACAGCCAGTGTCTTCAGAACAGCCTTAGAATGAGGCTAAACATCACAGCCACAGGCCCGCTCATGGCTTTGAGCAAGAAATTGACTCTCAGGAGTTAAACAGACTTGACATGGGGAGAGTCATTGTGGGAGGTTTTGAAAACTAAGGTAGGACATTTTATTTTCCTTTAAAAACTTGTTCGGTACTGTGAAGGTAATCTGAATATGTGCTTCATATTATCACATAGGCAGGAGGCCTATATATTCTCATATGTGTGTTCTGCTGTAGCCTACATTTATTTATTTTATTTGAAGTTATATTCCAATATTGTGATATTTGTTCTACTGCTACATTGATGTCTTGAAAATTATATGACATTCGGGTCTTGTAAGCCCCACAGCTGAGTATGTGCGCATATGCATATGGCAGGTGTTCTGCAGTGTCGTCTAAAAATATTGCTGTACATTGATGTCTAGAAAATTAGGCTATAAGAAATGTGGACTTGTGTAAGCTATACTCAAGTATGTGGGCATACTGCAGTGACATCTAAAATACTTTGAATTCATCAGCACCTTGGAGAGTGCTGTCCGTTTCACCACCATAGACAGTAGGCTACTTGGCTGTTTACTCTGTCTGCTGCGCTGCCACATTGTGTTTGACACTTTTTTCTCTCAATGTGTTCTGGTACCTCATAGCCCCCCCCCCCCCCCCCCCCCCCCCTCCCCCTCGAATTCACTATATGTTCCAGGACCTCCCGATTTACAAAAAAAGGCACTGCACCAATCCAATGTTTTAATGCATGGGGAGGAGTGTACACAGTTGCACACTTGAGGAGAGAGAACTGATTATTTGGACATTGGTTATTTGAACGTCGGGATTGCTTGTACCACTCTATAATATAACATTTTCCATCACCCAAAAAGCCGACATGCACAAAAGAGTTACCTGTCATTGGTGTGCTCCCAGGATTCATGAACAGGTTCTGACCACCCCTCATTATTGGCCAGTTTCCTTTCTTTGTCCATGTATGCCCCTCTCACAAGCTTCACACCCAGACAGAAGGACTCGCTGATGGACAGGCGGACATCCTCGAGCAGGAGGGACCGCGATTCCTGAAGGGAGAGGGAGACAGAGGGGGGAGAAGCAGAGAGAGAGTGAGAAAGGGCAAAACAGAGCGAAAGAGAGAGAGAGAAAGAGAGAGAGAGAGAGAGAGAGAGAGAGGGAGAGCGTGTGGGGGGGGGGGGTGAAACTGTTCTGAAATTGCTGAATAGTGGGCTATGACTTGGTTCGTCATTAAGCTCCTACGTTACTCCTGATAATTCAATTAATTTGCTGCTTCAATCATTTACAATCTATAGTAATCTATAGTAATTTAAGGACACTTGTCCTCATCAAGGGTCATAACAACTACATTTAACACATGGGAGTCACCAGAAAACAAGGCCCTGTACATATACAGAGCATTTAGAAAGTATTCAGACACCTTGACTCTTTCCACATTTTGTTACGTTACAGCCTTATTCTAAGATTGATCTACAAACAATACCCCATAATGACAAAGCAAAAACAGGTTTTAAGATTACTATTATAATCTTTTTGGGTTGTTGAATTTTTTGTATCCAATTGGTAGTTACAGTCTTGTCCCATCGCTGCAACTCCCATACGGACACTGGAGAGGCGAAGGTCGAGAGTCGTGCGTCCTCCGAAACACAACCCAGCCGAGTGCCCGGAAGCCAGCCGCACCAATGTGCCGGAGGAAACACCGTACAGCTGGCGACTGAGTCAGCGTGCAAGTGCCCGGCCTGCCACAGGAGTCGCTAGTGCGCCATGGGATAAGAACAACCCTGCCGGCCAAACCCTACCCTGGACGGCGCTGGGCCAATTGTGCGCCAACCCATGGGTCTCCTGGTCGCGGCCGGCAGCGAGAGAGCCTGGACTCGAACTAGGATCTCTAGTGGCACAGCTAGCACTGCCTTAGACCACTGCGCCACTCAGGAGGCCCAAGATTATTATTATTTTTCAACCCTGAAATATCACATTTGGATATCATTTTACATTTACATTTTAGTCATTTAGCAGACGCTCTTATCCAGAGCGATTTACATGAGCAATTAGGGTTAAGTGCCTTGCTTAAGGGCACATCGACAGATTTTTCACCTAGTCAGCTCGGGGATTAGAACCAGCGACCTTTCGGTTACTGGCACAACGCTCTTACCCACTAAGCTACCTGCCACCCTATGTATTCAGACCCTTTACTCAGTACTTTCTTGAAGCACCTTTGGCAGCGATTACAGCCTCAAGTCTTCTTGGGTATGACACTACAAACTTGGCACACCTGTATTTGGGGAGTTTCTCCATTTCTTCTCTGCAGATCCTCTCAAGCTCTGTCAGGTTGGATGGGGAGCGTCACTGCACAGCTATTTTCAGGTCTCTCTGGCTGGGCCACTCAAGGACATTCAGAGATTTGTCCCCAAGCCACTCCTGCATTGTCATGGCTGTGTGCTTAGGGTTGCTGTCCTGTTGGAAGGTGAACCTTCGCCCCAGTCTGACCTCCTGAGCACTCTGGAGTAGGTTTTCATCAAGGATCTCGCCGTACTTTGCTCCGTTCATCTTTCCCTCGATCCTGACTCGTCTCCCAGTCCCTTTCGCAGAAAAAATCCCCACAGCATGATGCTGCCACCACCATGCTTCACCGTAGGGATGGTATTGGCCAGGTGATGAGTGGTGCCTGGTTTCCTCCAGACGTGGCGCTTGGCATTCAGGCCAAAGAGTTCAATCTTGGTTTCATCAGACCAGAGAATCTTGTTTCTCATGGTCTGAGAGTCCTTTAGGTGCCTTTTGGCAAACTCCGAGCGGGCTGTCATGTGCCTTTTACTGAGGAGTGGCTTCTGTCTGGCCACTACCATAAAGGCCTGATTGCTGGAGTGCTGCAGAGATGGTTGTCCTTCTGGAAGGTTCTCCAATCTCCAAAGAGGTACTCTGGAGCTCTGTCAGAGTGACCATCCGGTCCTTGGTCACCTCCCTGACCAAGGGCTTTATCCCCCGATTGCTCAGTTTGGTCGGGCGTCCAGCACTAGGAAGAGTCTTGGTGGTTCCAAACTTCTTCCATTTAAGAATGATGGAGGCCACTGTGTTCTTGGGGACCTTCAATGCTGCAGAAATACATTGGTACCCTTCCCCAGACCGGTGCCGTGACACAATCCTGTCTTGGAGCTCTACGGACAATTCCTTCAACCTCATGGCTTGGTTTTTGTTCTGACGTGCACTGTCAACTGTGGGACATTACATAGACAGGTTTGTGCCTTTCCAAATCACGTCCAATCAATTGAAATTACCACAGGTGGACTCCAATTAAGTTGTAGAAACATTTCAAGGATGATCAATGGAAACAGGATGCAGTTGAGCTCAATTTTGAGTCTCATAGCAAAGGGTCTGAACACTTATGTAAATAAGGTATCCGTTTAGTTTTTTCCCCAAATTTTTTTTTCACTTTGTCATTATGGGGTATTTTGCGTAGATTCAAATCTTATTTAATCCATTTTAGAATAACGCTGTAATGTAACAAAATGTGGAAAAAGGGAAGGGGTCTGAATACTTTACGAATGCACTGTAAGTTCTACAACTGATGTACAACACATTTGACAACGGTTGAGACAATGAATAGATATTTCTGATGAGTTTGTCTGCACACAAATGTTTACACAACCATTCATTGTGGAGAAACAAATAGAGTGGGAGGGAGAGCGAGAGAGAGAGAGAGAGAGAGAGAGAGATAGAGAGAGAGAGAGAGAGAGAGAGAGAGAGAGAGAGAGAGAGAGAGAGAGAGAGAGAGAGAGAGAGAGAGAGAGAGAGAGAGAGAGAGAGAGAAAGAGAGAGAGAGAGATAGAGAGAGAAACAGACAGAGAGACAGAGAGACAGCGAGAGAGGGAAGAACATGAATCAAAAAGGAGCTGAAAACTAGACTCACTGATCTACCTTAAGGTAACACTGGTAGGTGTTCCAGATCCAGACGCCATCTTGGTTGAACTTCTTCATCATGGCCATGGTGACGAGCGAGAGGGCGGGGTTCATGTATGTGTACTCTGCGTCGACCAGAACTCGCACTTTGTTGGCACTGGCCTGAGAATGAAACACATGCAGTAATGGCTCTTTGATAACACTTTACCTAAAGTGATTCTTATGTCTATAATGTGTAGGCCAGGGCTTTCTAACCCTGTTTCTGGAGAGGTACCATCCTGTAGGTTTTCAATCCAACCCAAGTTGTAACTAACCTGATTCAGTTTATCAACCAGCTAATTATTAGAATCAGGTGTGCTAGATTAGGGTTGGAGCGAAAACCTACAGGACAGTAGCTCTCCAGGAACAGGGTTGGAGAGCCCTGCTGTAGGCTATGACCATGTAATTACAAAGCAGTTAGTATGTTAGTACATGTGAATATTACGTTGTAACTACAGCTATTAATGAGTAGTTACATACAGGTAACTGCCAAAATAAAGGAAACACCAACATAAAGTGTCTTAATAGGGTGTTGGGCCACCACGAGCCAGAACAGCTTCAATGCACCTTGTCATAGATTATACAAGTGTCTGAAACTCTATTGGAGGGATGCGACACCATACTTCCATGAGAAATTCTATCATTTGGTGTTTTGTTGATGGTGGTGGAAAACGCTGTCTCAGGCTTCGCTTCAGAATAAGTGTTCAATTGGGTTGAGATCTGATAACTGAGACGGCCAAGGCATATGGTTTACGTCATTTTCATGCTCATCAAACCATTCAGTGACCTCTGGTGCCCTGTGGATGGGAGAAGCACCTGCTTTCAATATACTTTGTATCCCTCATCTACTCAAGTGTTTCCATTATTTTGGCAGTTACCTGTAGGTACAAGGGCTATTTAAGGTAACGTTTTACTGACTCTTTTACATCTAACTTCATGACAGGAATATCATTGCATGTGGAAAACAATATGTATTACAGGACACATGGGGCATTGAAGTAAGAAAGTATAAAAGTATAAATAAACATATGTGATAATCATAGGACAATACCAGTGTAGGCTACTATATTTGCATAAGCAAATAACAGGTGCCAATATTTCAGAATTGATGAAAATACAGATGTTTTTCTCTCCATACCTCTCCCACTTTGTTGAGCCTCTGTAGGCCGCACAGGAAATGTGTGTTCTCGCTCTCCTGTAAACCGGGGAAGCTGATTGGCTGTGAGAGACGGGACCAGACAGTGGATCAGTCATCACTCTAGACTTATAAATAGAGAGGCATCTGAACATCTCACAAAATGGCTCACCCACCTCTCCGTCCATGGCTCTGACTAGGAGGTCTAGGTCATACTGTTGTTCTGAGAGCACGGTGGTTAGCTTCACCTAAGTACAAAGGGAAATGTGTCAACAGAGATCTGGGCCAGCATTTATCAAGTGCCTCAGAGTCGGATTGCTGATTCAGGATCAGTTTTGCCTCTTAGATCATATTGAATTATATTATTATGGACAGGGAGGACCTGATCCTAGATGAGTGTCCACGTAACCGGCCCTTTATTGTAAGATATTGTTAATAAATAATAGAGTGCTAGTTATACACAAGAGCTAGACTGGTCCCAGACCTGTTTGTGCTCTTACCAACTCAATTGTGGTCCTTGTCAAGGCAAACATTGTTCGGCATGACAATGAGTGACAAGAAGTTGGCATGATAGCACAAACAGACCGGCACTCAGGCTACACAGGAATGTAGTGTTTATTGCTTATATAATATATTTCATAAGGACAGGACAGAAGGGTTGGGGTATATTCCAAAAAAACAAAAAAGCATGAACTATGCTCCTCGCAGAGTAAAAGGGTTTTAGTCAAGTAAGTCATACACTTACACACAGCTCTGGACTGAGCAAGGCAGTGATCTTCAGCTGCATCATGGGATCTTTGCTCCAGGCATTTCTATGGGACATGCTGACACATTCCAACATGGACGCCAGGTTGTCGTCGTACCGTCGCTCCCTGTTGACAATTGATATTTGACCACATGCGTTCAGAATGAAAGTTATTCAATATGGGGCGGCAGGTAGCTTAGTGGGTAAGAGCGTTGTGCCAGTAACCGAAAGGTCGCTGGTTCTAATCCCCGAGCCGACTAGGTGCAAAATCTGTCGATGTGCCCTTAAGCAAGGCACTTAACCCTAATTGCTCCTGTAAGTCGCTCTGGATAAGAGCGTCTGCTAAATGACAAAAATGTAAATATACATTTTTGTTAAAAAATGTTTTTCATGATATCCAATTGGTAGTTACAGTCTTGTCCCATCGCTGCAACTCCCATATGGACTCGGGAGAGGCGAAGGTCGAGAGCCATGCGTCCTCTGAAACACAACCCTGCCAAGCTGCACTGCTTCTTGACACACTGCTCGCTTAACCCGGAAGCCAGCCGCACCAATGTGTCGGAGGAAACGCCATACAACTGGTGACCATGTCAGCGTGCAAGTGCCCGGCCCGCCACAAGGAGTCGCCACAAATCGCTAGAGCGCGATTTGACAAGGACATCCCAGCCAGACAAACCCTCCCCTAACCCGGATGATGCTGGGCCAATTGTGCACCGCCTCATGGGTCTCCCGGTAGCGGCCGGCTGTGACACAGCCCGGGATCGAACCCGGGTCTGTAGTGACGCCTCAAGCACTGCGATGCAGTGCCTTAGACCACTGCGCCACTCGGGAGGCCCTTCAATATTTCTGAACGAAAACAAACATTGACAAAAGTTGGATCTTTATCATCAATTTATGTACAATGCTGCATGAAACCCATGTAATTGCTTTGAGTATGGTAGCCGAGCATTGCCAGCGTAATACCCTTTTCACACTACTGAGCCAAACTGAACCAAGCCTGGTTACATATCCACCATAGTTAAACTATCCAAGCCCAGCAGCGCAGTACAGTTCAGCAAGCTAGTGTGGAAAGGGGTTTAACATAGAAAGATGTTGTCTAACCCAGTGCTCTCTCCCAGGTCCTCTTCAATGGGCACAGCCAGCATGGGGCGGAGTCCAAGGGAGCTCATCTTCTCCATGGAATGGGTGATCTCGCCCTCGCTCTCCCCGGCCACAAACTGAGCATACACAGACGGCCGCAAGGAACAGGGCAAACCCCCTTTTCCCGAGCAGAGTCCGCGCTACAGACATGAGCTGAGAGTGGGAGGAAAGAGGAGAGAGGAGAGAGAGAGGAGGTGCGAGAGAGCGAGATAGAGTAGAGAGATACGAGAGAGAGATAGAATCGAGATAGAGAGAGATAGAGATCAGTTCGAGATAGCTATATCGCGATCCTCTTCGTCATCGCTCTCCCTCCATAACAAAGACCCACCCCTCACTGAAACCAACATAACACATAAGAAGCCTCCCGACTCGCTACCTAAAAAAGCAAAAGAAAAGAAAGACAGAAAGCAAAGAAAGAACGAAAGGGGAGGATGAGTGAGTCAAAACTATAGGAAAGGGGAGAGCCGGTGAGTGAGTCAGATACAAATAAAGAGCTAATTTGGGCTAGAGGTAAAGAGAGGGGGAGATAAATACGCATAAGGAGTATGAGAGGCAGAGAAAGAGTGGAAACCGAGACGGACAAACATACTTGACCTTTATACATTGTCAGACACATCGAGTGCAACAGTGTAGGCATTTGCCTGTATGCACTCACTCACTTACTGATTGAGTCCCAAATGGCACCCTATTTCCTACATAATGCACTACTTTTGACCAGAGCCCTATGGGCCGGTGTCAAAAGTAGTGACAGCCCTGTGAGCCAATGTCCAAAGTAGTGACACTCACTCATTCACTCACTCACTTCACCACTCACTCATTCCCCTCAATTCCTCTCTCTCTCATCCCTTATCTGGTTCATGCTGCTCATGTACTGTATATCTCTTCCCTTCTCCTCCTATCCCTCCCTCCCAGTTTCTCACCTTCCCACAGTTGTTGACCAGCAATGGGACAGAGCAGAGTCGGAACACCCCTAATGCTCGGAGCAGCTCCCCAAAGCTCTTTACCCTGAAGGCGCTGGGGTCCTCAAAGGTCAACGCCACTGGGAGGGCGTCCGCTGCGAACCCCTGTGACGGCGCCACTGCCAACCGTTCTGCCGCCAGCGTCCTTGGGGTCACAGTACCCAGCAGCCTCAGCGATAGGAAGTGATGCAATGACGGGCGAAGCAGTGGAGACGTCATCATCGCTGATGGAGGGCGTCTGGATTGACCCGACGTCTGTGTAGGAGTGTGTGTGTATGTGAACAATATGCCTGTTAATATGTGTGCGTGTGTGTGTGTCTTTGGTGTGTTTACTTTCCTTGCTTGCGTAGTTGTGTGGACTCTTGCTCAGCAGTCTGACAGGGTCACACATACAAAAACAAGTGATGATACACTCAGCTGAGAACCTGCTGAAAGAGAGGGATGAGGGGTAGAGAACATGTAAACACATACAAAGAGAAATACAGTACAAGTAAACATTGACCATCAATACAGTACAGCAATTCACCATTTTAATCCAATAGAGGCCGATAAAGTGTCCCTCCATGCATGCATGAAATTTACTTTCCACTTAAATTAAAACTTTGACAATTATAAATTATTACAAATCCATGCCTGTTAAATTAGCTGGTAATTTTCCAAATGCGAGTAAACTAAGCCACAAATATCAATTGCTCTGATAAAGACTAGTGGTGGGCACCAATATCGATAATGTTTGATATCGATATGAGCAAGGCATAACAAATGGTTTTATGTAAAAAACGTAAATGAAGTCCAGTCTGGTGATACTGAAAATATATGTCGCCACACATGGTTTGTTTACATAGCAGGTTACGATAATTAACATGGCAGGTTAGGTGAATTAACGTGGCAGGTTAGGAGAATGAGGTAAAGGTGAGGAAAAGGGTTAGGGTTAAGGCGTCAGCATGCTTCAGTTCGGCTGGTGCCTAGCCAAACTCGGCTAGCCGAACCGAACGAGTGTGCCCTCATACTCCCTTAAAAGACCTTTGCTTGAGAAACGAGAAAAAAGCGGCAATAGTACTGTTTTTCCATTTTGAGACACCGTAGCCAGTATACACTTCTTTAAGTTTATTGTATATCTTAAATGTATGCCTACATTCAGATATACAGGTAACTGCCAAAATAATGGAAGCACCAACATAAAGTGTCTTACTAGGGCTTTGGACCACCACAAGCCACCAGAACAGCTGTTATTCTTTAGTTAGGTTGGTCAGGGTGTGAATGCTAGAGGTTATTATGTGAATATCTAGGTATCTATGTGTAGATCTAGATTATATATTTCTATGTTGGCCGGGTGTGGTTCCCAATCAGAGGCAGCTGTCGATCGTTGTCTCTGAGTCTGATTGGGAATCATACTTAGGTAGCCATTTTGCCTACCTATGTTGTGGGATCTTGACTCTTGTTTGTGTGTAGCCATTGTGAGAGTCACGTTACGGTGCGTTTGTTGTGTGTTAACTTAGTGAATAAACATGTATGCATTCCACGCTGCACCTTGGTCCAATCCTGTACTCAACGAACGTGACAACAGCTTCAATGCGCCTTGGCATAGATTCTACAAGTGTCTGGAACTCTATTGGAGGGATGCGGCACCATTCTTCCAAGAGAAATTCCATAATTTGGTGTTTTGTTGATGGTGGTGGAAAATGCTGTCTCAGGCGCCGCTCCAGAATCTCCCATAATTGTTCAATTGGGTTGAGATCTGGAGACTGAGATGGCCATGACATATGGTTTACATCGTTTTCATGCTCATCAAACCATTCAGTGACCATTCGTGATATATTTAGCAAGCTCAGACTCCATGTCATCAGATAAGACCTTGTATGCCTCTGCTATTCTATCATAGCCTCTCTTTCACACAGGTACATGTTCTTTTTATTTTTTGTCAATGTACCTCTTCAGTGTAATTCAGTCAATTTTTTCATCCCTTGCTGCTGTTCAAATGGACTTCTTCCCTTCTCTCACTTCCTTGGCTGCTCTGTCAAGAACCTCAAGGGGGGCTAGACCCCTGCTTGTTTTATGTTTGTGTACACGGGGCATGATGATGTCTGCTCTGTAACAATAAAAATGCAGTCTTGAATTCATATGCACGACACATTGCAAAAATACTCTGTATATTATGCATAAAACTGACACAATGTAATCAAAGCAAACATACCCCAAAGCAAATATTTTCACAATATTTTCCACATAGCTACAAAGATGCACTTTCATGCTAGGTTTAGGGCACACGTGTCAAACTCATTCCACGGAGTGTCTGGTGGTTTTTGCTCCTCCCTTGTACTTGATTGATGAATTAAGGTCACTGGTCAGTAAGGAACTCCCCTCACCTGGTTGGAACTCCCCTCAGACACTAGGCCCTCCATGGAATGAGTTTGACCCCCCTGGTTTAGGGTGTCATATTGTAGCTTATAGAGACCCCAACTGATGTATAAAACAATCTTAAAACGATCTACTTTGGTTTAGATACAAGCATCATGAAACCTGTAACACAATAAATTAAAGTTTTTTGGGCCTAGCTTGCTTACCACTTTTTCCATGTGATTTCTTCCTTCACAGACTCCATGAAATGATGACCTCTTCCTAAATATTTGGTCACATTATGAATTTTGTGTATGGTTTCCTAGAAACAAGGGGTAGCTCAACTAACCCTTTGGCTCAACTTACCCCACTTTCCTCTACGCCGTGTCCCTCCATTCTCTCCCTCCTTATACCGTCCTCCCCTCCAGCCCTCCACTGTAAATTCCCATTAACTCTATTTAAGTGATGCTGATTTACTAAGAACTATTACTCAATGTATGACACATTTGTGTTTTTTGTTGCATTATTTTGCTGATTCAGAGCAGTAAGATTGCTCACCTGATGTTCAAGTGCAATGTCTAGCTAAGATAAAACCTGATGTCCATATATTGTACTTTGTTGTGAGTATTGAGCTGCAAGAAGACTGTTTTGTCTTTGTGGACATAACCCACATGACACCATGTCCACTCCAGATGAAGGAGAAACTGTTGGTGTAATTGTTAACAGTGTAACCTACATTCCTGCACTGTTTCTGTAGGGAAGACCGGGGACAGTTGTAACGCATTTTGGAGTTGTTTATTAAAATTTTATTTATTCTTACACTGTTTGATGTAGAGAGTTCTACATTTCACAAAGACAACTTACATGTGCCTGCTAACTATTAATATAGTTTAGAGACCTGTGCTAAATGTGGAATTTTTACAATTCTGTCTTAATCCGAAAAACTCCTGATGTTACAATTAACCCCAATTGCAGGGTTAATTGTAATGGTATATGGGACAGATTAAAACATTTAATCTTTTAGGCATGTCATATTGCCCAGATACTCAGTAGAAAAATGCATGTTTTGTATAACAGTAGTATTAAAAAAAAATGCACGAATTTTCTTAGTTGCACTGCCACAGTTGATGTAAAGAAGGGACATTTGATATTATGTGAATGTGTCCATATACCATGAAATGCAAATCGATATATAGATTTTTGTTATAGGTGCCCATCACTAATAAAGACCAAGCAGAAAAAGCAAAGGAAACCTTACCAGAGTACACGGTCTGCCACCAGTCCATTGAGAAATTTCATCTAGAGGGAGGTTATATGGGGGTGGACACAGATGTGTTGTACCATTTATTGGGTAACTAGATAGTTAATGAGTGGCTAACTTGAGTGACTAACTTGAGTAAACATCAGGTTCACCTCGGAGAGCAGAAATAATTGGTGTCAAGTCCACGTTGGATCCAAAATGTAATTGTCAAGCTCTTACAAATCAATGGCAATAGTAGTCTCAAGCTCACGTTTGATCCAAAATGTAATTGGCAAAACCTTACAAATCAATGGTAGTAGTAGTTCCATCTCAGACAGACAGGTGAAACATTTCACAGAGCTTTTAATTCATTAAAACAAAACTGCACTAGTCTCTCTGCTGATGAGTAACCCCAATGAAATTGACTTCCAAAATCAACCCACATTTTTTTCTACTAACTAGTTTTCTACAAAGATAAATGCTTTTCGCAAAGTGCATTGTTACTCCAGTTATTAACCAGAAATGTAGCTTAGAGGCAATCTGCGATTACTACATACATTTTTTTGTTCGTAAATAATGTAATTGTAAAAATAAAATAAAAACTCTTAACATGGTTAAAACTGTCATTTTGATCCCGTGGATGGTCAGTCCTTGCATCCATAGCTACAGTTGAAGTCGGAGGTTTACATACACTTAGGTTGGAGTCATTAAAACTCGTTTTTTCAACCACTCCACAAATTTCTTGTTAACAAACTATAGTTTTGGCAAGTTGGTTAGGACATCTACTTTGTGCATGACACAAGTCATTTTTCCAACAATTGTTTACAGACAGATTATTTCACTTATAATTCACTGTATCACAATTCCAGTGGGTCAGAAGTTTACATACACTAAGTTGACTGTGCCTTTAAACAGCTTGGAAAATTCCACAAAATGATGTCATGGCTTTAGAAGCTTCTGAAAGGCTAATTGACATCATTTGAGTCAATTGGAGGTGTACCTGTGGATGTATTTCAAGGCCTACCTTCAAACTCAGTGCCTCTTTGCTTGACATCATGGGAAAATCAAAAGAAATCAGCCAAGACCTCAGACATTTTGTTTTGGACCTCTACAAGTCTGGTTCATCCTTGGGAGCAATTTCCAAACGCCTGAAGGTACCACGTTCATCTGTACAAACAATAGTACCCAAGTATAAACACCATGGGACCACGCAACCGTCATACGCGAAGGAGGCGTGTTCTGTCTCCTAGAGATGAACGTACTTTGGTGTGAAAAGTGCAAATCAATCCCAGAACAACAGCAAAGGACTTTGTGAAGATGCTGGAGGAAACAGGTACAAAAGTATCTATATCCACAGTAAAACGAGTCTTATATCGACATAACCTGAAAGGCCGCTCAGCAAGGAAGAAGCCACTGCTCCAAAACCGCCATAAAAAAGCCAGACTATGGTTTGCAACTGCACATGGGGACAAAGATCGTACTTTTTGGAGAAATGTCCTCTGGTCTGATGAAACAAAAATAGAACTGTTTGGTCATATTGACCATCGTTATGTTTGGTGGAAAAAAGGGAAGGCTTGCAAGCCGAAGAACACCATCCCAACCGCGAAGCACAGGGGTGGCAGCAACATGCTGTGGGGGTGCTTTGCTGCAGGAGTGACTTGTGCACTTCACAAAATAGATGGCATCATGAGGAAGGAAAATTATGTGGATATATTGAAGCAACATCTCAAGACATCAGTCAGGAAGTTAAAGCTTGGTCGCAAATGGGTCTTCCAAAAGGACAATGACCCCAAGTATACTTCCAAAGTTGTGGCAAAATGGCTTAAGGACAACAAAGTCAAGGTATTGGAGTGGCCATCACAAAGCCCTGACCTCAAACCTATAGAAGATTTGTGGGCAGAATTGAAAAAGCATGTACGAGCAAGGAGGCCTACAAACCTGACTCAGTTACACCAGCTCTGTCAGGAGGAATGGGCCAAAATTCACCCAACTTATTGTGGGAACCTTGTGGAAGGCTACCCGAAACATTTGACCCAAGTTAAACAATTTAAAGGCAATGCTACCAAATACTAATTGAGTCTATGTAAACTTCTGACCCACTGGGAACGTGATGAAAGAAATAAAAGCTGAAATAAATCATTCTCTCTACTATTATTCTGACATTTCACATTCTTAAAATAAAGTGGTGATCCTAACTGACCTAAAACAGGGAATTTTTACTAGGATTAAATGTCAGGAATTGTGGAAAACTGAGTTTAAATGTATTTGGCTAAGGTGTATGTAAACTTCCGACTTCAACTGCATGTCTATGAATTGCTTGAAATACTACATAAAAATTGACATGGTATAATTGACTCAACAACAACCAATATAAAAATAATTGACCTGGATGAACTTAATTGTTTTTCTTCATAAATCAGTGAAATCATAGACCATTTGTGGCAAGATTTTATTGGTGTATAAGCCAGGTATTTTCTCCTCTCTGCGCATTTTGGGCCAACTATTTCAAATTTTTCCTGAACCTCAACTCTTCCTTTTCCCAGACCCCAACTCCTCCCCCTTTTCAACATTTTGCCAAACCCCAACTTCTCCTCTGTTCCCCCCTTTTCCCAGACCAAGAGAATGGCAACCACCCAAAATAAAGTAAAGGTGGCGTTCCTGTCTGTCTACATTGCAGACGCCTGCCAGATCTCACAATGCTTGGGTAGGTGTTTAACATATCAGCTACCACTTCATATGACATAGCAATTTGATGCCCGACTACAGTTAATGTAGTCGGGAAGGAACTTGACTCGACCAATAGATCATAGAGGATGCTGGGAAAACCACAGATGTTAGAATGACCCAGAAATGTCAGAGAGAAAGTGACAGGTGTTAAACAGAGATAGTAGTTTAGAGGAGTTGGAGGTAAAAGACTTTGCCCCAAAGTAGACCAAGCTAACTGGCCCAGAGGAAAATATTAACTCCAAACTGCCTTGAACAGTGGTGCATTCAGTTCACCTCAACGTTTGCTACTTTCCGTGACGGTTTGTACTGAACGACATGTTTCCCCATAACGGTGCGCACCGTTCTTCAACAGCCTTTGAGGTATGTTTGCTCCTGTTCAGCGGTGAAAGTAGATTTCATTTCCCGGTACAGAATTGTTTTATTTTGCGCATGCACCAATGTTTTTGGGGGGCCTAAACATAGAATTATATGTAGAAACTCTATTAATTGAATAGGATATCTGGGCCTAATAGTAAAAATGTGTTGTTTCACTTTTAAAATGGACTGGCATTAACATAACCACTCATGATGTTTTCATCTGATTGACAAACAATCACTTCAAAAGGCTCCTGTAAGCTTGGCTACCTGCGCACATTCGTCCACTCTAAAATAATTCCTGCATCCATATTGTGCACCCACCATTTTAGGAATAGAAAGAGACATCAGTAACAAAACACCAAAAGTGTAATGATTGTCATTCATTAGGCCTACACTTGTAACCTGACTTGATGCGTCCACTGTCGGCACGTGTCGGTCACTCATCGGAAAATGTCACTTATGGTCAAACCACACCGCATTTTCAGCTTGGAGCTTATTCCACAAGTTTTCAAGTCCATTCGCAAATTTTGCAAGCGGGTGACATGTGGTAATAATAGTGTAATAGCATACTGTTCTCTTGGCATCTTTGTTTTCATTATTATGATAGGCTCATGTTCAACCGGTCCGGCATAGTGGGCTTACTTTCACCCTTGCTCCCATTTGGTGGGTGTGGGGCCTGATCAATATGGGTGTGACCATTTGAAATCGCAAAACTCGTGCAGCACATCATACTGGAATCACCCTCTGGGCCACCATAATCCATTTTTTCAACTGGTCGGTCAGTACAGTACTGTTTCCGTTTGAACTCAATGTTGCACACCGTTCTATCATTGAACGCATCCCAGGCATCACTGACAATCGCTGACCTGGATGAACAGAAATCAGTCAGATTTTCAGTCTGATCACAAACCATTTGTGCAGTTAGGTATACATCATTACGTACAGGCGTATTTAACAACTATAACAAAAATATAACAATATAATATAAGTAAACCAAATAATGACCATCGTTATGTTTGGAGGAAAAAGGGGAAAGCTTGCAAGCCGAAGAACACCATCCCAACCGTGAAGCACGGGGGTGGCAGCATCATGCTATGGGGGTGCTTTGCTGCAGGAGGGACTGGTGCACTTCACAAAATAGATTGTGTATCATGAGGAAGGAAAATTATGTGGATATATTGAAGCAACATCTCAAGACATCAGTCAGGAAGTTAAAGCTTGGCCACAAATGGGTCTTCCAAATGGACAATGAGCCCAAGCATACTTCCAAAGTTGTGGCAAAATGACTTAAGGACAACAAAGTCAAGGTATTGGAGTGGCCATCACAAAGCCCTGACCTCAATCCTATAGAAAATGTGTGGGCAGAACTGAAAAAGCGTGTGCGAGCAAGGAGGCCTACAAACCTGACTCAGTTACACCAGCTCTGTCAGGAGGAATGGGCCAAAATTCACCCAACTTATTGTGGGGAGCTTGTGGCTACCCGAAACATTTGACCCAAGTTAAACAATTTAAAGGCAATGCTACCAAATACTCTCTACTATTATTCTGACATTTCACATTCTTAAAATAAAATGGTGATCCTAACTGACATAAGACAGAGAATTTTTACTAGGATTAAATGTCAGGAATTGTAAAAAACAGTTTAAATGTATTTGGCTAAGGTGTATGTAAACTTCCGACTTCAACTGTATGTATATATATATATATATATATATATATATATATATATATATATATATATATATGTATATATTTATATACACTGCTCAAAAAAATAAACTGAACACTAAAATAACACATCCTAGATCTGAATGAATGAAATAATCTTATTAAATACTTTTTTCTTTACATAGTTGAATGTGCTGACAACAAAATCACACAAAAATGATCAATGGAAATCAAATTTATCAACCCATGGAGGTCTGGATTTGGAGTCACACTCAAAATTAAAGTGGAAAACCACACTACAGGCTGATCCAACTTTGATGTAATGTCCTTAAAACAAGTCAAAATGAGGCTCAGTAGTGTGTGTGGCCTCCACGTGCCTGTATGACCTCCCTACAACGCCTGGGCATGCTCCTGATGAGGTGGCGGATGGTCTCCTGAGGGATCTCCTCCCAGACCTGGACTAAAGCATCCGCCAACTCCTGGACAGTCTGTGGTGCAACGTGGCGTTGGTGGATGGAGCGAGACATGATGTCCCAGATGTGCTCAATTGGATTCAGGTCTGGGGAATGGGCGGTCCATAGCATCAATGCCTTCCTCTTGCAGGAACTGCTGACACACTCCAGCCACATGAGGTCTAGCATTGTCTTGCATTAAGAGGAACACAGGGCTCATCTCGGTACCTAATGGCAGTCAGGCTACCTCTGGCGAGCACATGGAGGGCTGTGCGGCCCCCCAAAGAAATGCCACCTCACACCATGACTGACCCACCGCCAAACCGGTCATGCTGGAGGATGTTGCAGGCAGCAGAACGTTCTCCACGGCGTCTCCAGACTCTGTCACGTCTGTCACGTGCTCAGTGTGAACCTGCTTTCATCTGTGAAGAGCATAGGGCGCCAGTGGCGAATTTGCCAATCTTGGTGTTCTCTGGCAAATGCCAAACGTCCTGCACGGTGTTGGGCTGTAAGCACAACCCCCACCTGTGGACGTTGGGCCCTCATACCACCCTCATGGAGTCTGTTTCTGACCGTTTGAGCAGACACTTGCACATTTGTGGCCTGCTGGAGGTCATTTTGCAGGGCTCTGGCAGTGCTCCTCCTGCTCCTCCTTGCACAAAGGCGGAGGTAGCAGTCCTGCTGCTGGGTAGTTGCCCTCCTACGGCCTCTTCTATGTCTCCTGATGTACTGGCCTTTCTCCTGGTAGCGCCTCCATGCTCTGGACACTACGATGACAGACACAGCAAACCTTCTTGCCACAGCTCGCATTGATGTGCCATCCTGGATGAGCTGCACTACCTGAGCCACTTGTGTGGGTTGTAGACTCCGTCTCATGCTACCACTAGAGTGAAAGCACCGCCAGCATTCAAAAGTGACCAAAACATCAGCCAGGAAGCATAGGAACAGAAGTGATCTGTGGTCACCACCTGCAGAACCACTCCTTTATTGGGGGTGTCTTGCTAATTGCCTATAATTTCCACCTGTTGTCTATTCCATTTGCACAACAGCATGTGACATTTATTGTCAATCAGTGTTGCTTCCTAAGTGGACAGTTTGATTTCACAGAAGTGTGATTGACTTGGAGTTACATTGTGTTGTTTAAGTGTTCCCTTTATTTTTTTGAGCAGTATATATATATATATATATATATATATACAGTGGGGAAAAAAGTATTTAGTCAGCCACCAATTGTGCAAGTTCTCCCACTTAAAAAGATAAGAGAGTCCTGTAATTTTCGTCATAGGTACACGTCAACTATGACAGACAAAATGAGAAAAAAAAATCCAGAAAATCACATTGTAGGATTTTTAATGAATTTATTTGCAAATTATGGTGGAAAATAAGTATTTGGTCAATAACAAAAGTTTCTCAATACTTTGTTATATACCCTTTGTTGGCAATGACACTGGTCAAATGTTTTCTGTATGTCTTCACAAGGTTTTCACACACTGTTGCTGGTATTTTGGCCCATTCCTCCATGCAGATCTCCTCTAGAGCAGTGATGTTTTGGGGCTGTCGCTGGGCAACACAGACTTTCAACTCCCTCCAAAGATTTTCTATGGGGTTGAGATCTGGAGACTGGCTAGGCCACTCCAGGACCTTGAAATGCTTCTTACGAAGCCACTCCTTCGTTGCCCGGGCGGTGTGTTTGGGATCATTGTCATGCTGAAAGACCCAGCCACGTTTCATCTTCAATGCCCTTGCTGATGGAAGGAGGTTTTCACTCAAAATCTCACGATACATGGCCCCATTTATTCTTTCCTTTACACGGATCAGTCGTCCTGGTCCCTTTGCAGAAAAACAGCCCCAAAGCATGATGTTTCCACCCCCATGCTTCACAGTAGGTATGGTGTTCTTTGGATGCAACTCAGCATTCTTTGTCCTCCAAACACGACGAGTTGAGTTTTTACCAAAAAGTTCTATTTTGGTTTCATCTGACCATATGACATTCTCCCAATCCTCTTCTGGATCATCCAAATGCACTCTAGCAAACTTCAGACGGGCCTGGACATGTACTGGCTTAAGCAGGGGGACACGTCTGGCACTGCAGGATTTGAGTCCCTGGCGGCGTAGTGTGTTACTGATGGTAGGCTTTGTTACTTTGGTCCCAGCTCTCTGCAGGTCATTCACTAGGTCCCCCCGTGTGGTTCTGGGATTTTTGCTCACCGTTCATGTGATCATTTTGACCCCACGGGGTGAGATCTTGCGTGGAGCCCCAGATCGAGGGAGATTATCAGTGGTCTTGTATGTCTTCCATTTCCTAATAATTGCTCCCACAGTTGATTTCTTCAAACCAAGCTGCTTACCTATTGCAGATTCAGTCTTCCCAGCCTGGTGCAGGTCTACAATTTTGTTTCTGGTGTCCTTTGACAGCTCTTTGGTCTTGGCCATAGTGGAGTTTGGAGTGTGACTGTTTGAGGTTGTGGACAGGTGTCTTTTATACTGATAACAAGTTCAAACAGGTGCCATTAATACAGGTAACGAGTGGAGGACAGAGGAGCCTCTTAAAGAAGAAGTTACAGGTCTGTGAGAGCCAGAAATCTTGCTTGTTTGTAGGTGACCAAATACTTATTTTCCACCATAATTTGCAAATAAATTCATTAAAAATCCTACAATGTGACTTTCTGGATTATTTTTTCTCAATTTGTCTGTCATAGTTGACGTGTACCTATGATGAAATGTACAGGCCTCTCTCATCTTTTTAAGTGGGAGAACTTGCACAATTGGTGGCTGACTAAAAAAATTTTCCCCCACTGTATATACACACACATGGGTCCTAAAATTCCAAATCAAATAGCTAAATTATCCATGGTATGACCATCTTAAAACTATTCAATATGTTAGCTTAGTAGAACGCCCACACCACCAAAGGCTTACGCCTCAATCACACCGACAGCATCATTGCGTTTTGGTACACCAGAAGTACATTCATTTCCAATTGAACATTGGATTTGCCTTGCAGCATTGCAGAGGCAGTTGCAGTGCGTTCTGTGTGGTGCATACATTGGATTTATCGAACGTATGCATCAAACTGTATGCAGACGGCTTGACAGAAATGGTAGCAGAAGGTGAATGTTGAACATTTGTTGCGCACATTTCCAGATGATGTTGCGTACCATTTTGCGCAATGACGCCATCAGTGTGATCAAGGCATTAGACTTTTAGAGGTTAATAAATAGAGGAAGTGTTGTCACAAATGCGGAAGTAACCCACCCTCAGCATGCCCTCGAGTTCCAGAGGTAGAACGTTCTGTTCTGTGGCAGAGGACGTTGGGGCAAACCTTGCCTTGTCTAGTCATTGCATATGTTATTCAGAGGATAAAAAAAAAAAAAAAAATTATACAAGCCAAACTTCAGAAAATGTGTTAACATGTTGAAAACCAACTGAGCAGACAAATAGAATAGGGAAATTAATGTGTGCAGAAAAGATTAAAGCAGTTGTTCAAGCAGCAATCACTGACAATTTGTGTATATACTAGATGCTGTAGTCATCATTATTAGACAATGTTTTTGATGTTACAATGGTCATAAAGAATCAGGCAAAGCATGTATTCATTCAATAATATTTATTTCGCAGGTTACAACTGAAAACTTCACTTGACACGTCTGACCCTGCCAAAAGAAAATCTGTCACACTGCAAATGCATTTATCTTGTGAATACACAATTAGCCCAAAAACCCATTCACGCTCGACAAAAAGTGTAGGCAATACTGATATTACACTACAAACTTTTCATAGATAGGGAAGCTGACAGTTTTCAAGCATGCTATAGGGCTGATTAATGTTGTACAAAGAGAGAATAGTGTAGTAGGTGCAATGTCAAGTGATGTAACCCAAAATGTTGTTGTTTTGGAATGAAGATTGGCTGGCTCTGTTACACCAGGTTCCTCTGGCTCCTCCTCTGGCTCAGTAGTCTCTCCTGTCCTGGTTCTGGTAGCCCCCCTTGTAGCCCCCCCTGTAGCCTCCCTGGTAGCCCCCGCCTCCCTGGTAGCCCCCGCCTCCCTGGTAACCCCCGCCTCCCTGGTAGCCCCCGCCTCCCTGGTAGCCCCCGCCTCCCTGGTAGCCCCCGCCTCCCTGGTAGCCCCCCCTGTTCTGGCCCTGGTAGCCACCACCGCCACCTCTGTTTCCATCTGTGGAGAGGACAAGAGATGGAGAGAGAAAGAAAATAACGATTCAGAGATTAAATTAGGAAAATGTGAACAGAACAGTGACACTAAAATGTCCAGACAAAATGAGCTGACAAGCCATATCTATCACAATACGTGTGGGCTAATACTAACAAGTTGTGCGAAGAATGGAAGTGAAAGACTGCAAGAGAGAATGAAGAGAAAATGAAATGTGGGGTGGGATGTTTTTAGAGTGGCCAAAAGGCTCAGGCATGGAGGGAGGATGGGGGGGGGACTGCAGGTCACAGACCGTGGCTTTAAGAAAAAATTTAAGTAAAATTCAGACATCTATAGGATAAAGGTGGCATAAATTCATACGCACCTCGGTTGTAACCACCCCTCTGTTGGTAACTGCCTCCATCTGAAACCAACCATAAAAAAGGTAAGCATGTGTGAGGCCACAACTAACGTGTCCAATATAATTTACAAATTACTTTTTGGTTTGTTTGCATTGGTGCTTATGCAGTGGTTAGTTATGTTTTATATATATATATATATATATATATAACACGGAATTTGTACACTTAAAAAATGTAGAATTATTATTTACTATTATTCAAATACTATAGGCGTCAAATCCCATTGTTCTAGACTACTGATAATAGTGCCCAAGGCTCGGCATAGCGGAATGGGAGAAAAAGGGGCGTGCAGCTCACAGACGGTCGATTTTAGAAGAAACAGCAGAACAATTCAGATATTCATAAGAAAATAAAGGTGGTATAAAAATGGTTCATAAGCACCTCGGTTGTAACCACCCCTCTGTTGGTAACCACCTCCGTCTGAAACCAACCATAAAAAAGGTAAGCATGTGCGAGGCCACAACTAACGTGTCCAATATAATTTACAAATGACTTTTATTTACTTGTGCACTTTTATAACTACAGTTATTTTCCTTTATAATGTCTATACATGCGCATATTCACACTTTATCAAGCTAGTCGTTTAGCTGTTTTCATCACTTGAGCTTGCATCTTGCATGCAGGTTTAGGTAAAAAATATATATAATCATCTCATCATAGCAAGAAGCCGTTACTTGGTTCAATTATATGTTCTTTTGGTTTCATAGTTTTAGCAACCAATCAATTTTGAGCAAGCCATAGATTAAAATGTACCAAACATGAAAAACAATTACACAGTATGTACAGTACACTCATGAATACATTGTGTTCTTAGAAATTCTAATTTATGGTATTGCAATGTTTCTGAAGAACTGCCTAAACACAACCAATGCATATTATTAGTGATAGAATACATTACATGGAATTATTACACTCTTTAAAATGAAGACGTTAAAAAGAGTTGTTGCCGCAACTCGGTAGGTGTCAAATCCTGATGTCTTATCATTCATAGACAGAGGGGACTGCAGCTCACGAATAGTGATTAAAAAAATATCAGAATTGATATTTTTTTCAAAATAAACACTTCCATTAGAAAATAAAGGAGGAATAAAATGGTTCATAAGCACCTCTGTTGTAACCGCCTTGCTTCGGTTGGTAGCTGCCTCTTTGACCATCTGAAAACGCACAATGAAAACAGTTTAGACACAGCTGTGAAACGTCGTGTGTGAGCGTACACACACACACACACACACACACACACACACAAAGGGGATAACAAAAAACAGCATTTTTTACTACATACGTATACTATGTCTCTCACTATCACATACACACTGAAATAAGACATACACAGTCACTCTCATAATATTCAGACAATCATGCATTTCAATCAGTTATTTCAAACACCTCGGTTGTAACCGCCTTGCTTCTGTTGGTAACTGCCTCTCTGGTCTGAAACCGTACAGTGAAAACAGTTTAGAAACACACAGCTGTGGCATGCAATGAGCGTTGGCGCACACACACACAAACACAAGGATAACAAAAAAGAAAATCACAAACTCAAATATACAGTGCTTTCGGAAAGTATTCAGACCTCTTGAATGTTTCCCACATTTTGTAAGGTTACAGCCTTATTCTAAAAATGATTAAAATTATTTCTCTTCTTTTTGTTATCTACACACAATACCCCATAATGACACAGCAAAAACTGGTTTAGACATTTTTGCCAATCTAAAATAAATAAATGGAAATATCACATTTACATAAGTATTTCAGACCATTTACTCAGTACTTTGTTGAAGCACCTTTGTCAGCGATTACAGCCTTGAGTCTTCTTGGGTATGAAGCTACAAGCTTGGCACACCTGTATTTGGGGAGTTTCTCCCATTCTTCTCTGCAGATCCTCTCAAGCTGGTTGGCTGGGGGAGCGTTGCTGCACAGCTATTTTCAGGTCTCTCCTGAGATGTTCGATTGGGTTCAAGTCCGGGCTCTGGCTGGGCCACTCAAGGACATTCAGAAACTTGTCCTGCGTTGTCTTGGCTGTGTGCTTAGGGTCGTTGTCCTGTTGGAAGGTGAACCTTCACCCCAGTCTGAGGCCCTGATCGCTCTGGAGCAGGTTTTCATGAAGGATCTCAAAGATCTTTCCCTCGATCCAGACTAGTCTCCCAGTCCCTGCCGCTAAAAAACATCCCACAGCATGATGCTGCCACCACCATGCTTCACCGTAGGGATGGTGCCAGTTTTCCTCCAGACGTGATGCTTGGCATTCAGGCCAATGAGTTCAATCTTGGTTTCATCAGACCAGAGAATCTTGTTTCTCATGGTCAGAGTCCTTTAGGTGCCTTTTGGCAAACTCCAAGCGGGCTGACATGTGTATTTTCCTGAGGAGTGGCTTCCGTCTGGCCACTCTACCATAAAAGGCCCGATTGGTGGAGTGCTGCAGAGATGCTTGTCCTTCTGGAAGGTTCTCCAATCTCCACAGAGGAACTCTAGAGCTGTCAGAGTGACCATCAGGTTCTTGGTCAGCTCCCTGACCAATGCCCTTCACCCCCGATTGCTCAGTTTGGCCGGGTGGCCAGCTCTAGGAAGAGTCTTGGTGGTTCCAAACTTATTTCATTTAAAAATGGAGGCCTCTGCATTCTGGGGGACCTTCAATGCTGCAGAATTTTTTTGGTACCCTTCCCCAGATCTGTGCCTTGACACAATCCTGTCTCGGAGCTCTACGGACAATTCCTTCGACCTCATGGCTTGGTTTTTGCTCTGACATGCACTATCAACTGTCGGCACTTATATAGACAGGTGTGCCTTTCCAAATCATGTCCAATCAATTGAATTTACCACAGGTGGACTGCAATCAAGTTGTAGAAACATCTCAAGGATGATCAATGGAAACAGGATGCACCTGAGCTCAATTTCGAGTCTCATAGCAAAGGGTAGGAATACTTATGTAAATAAGGTATGTTTTTTATTCTTAATACATTTGCAAACATTTCTAAAAACCTGTTTTTCGCCTTGTCATTATGGGGTATTGTGTGTAGATTGATGAGGAAAACATTTAATCAATCAATTTTAGAATAAGGCTGTAACGTAACAAAATTTGGAAAAAGGGAAGGGGTCTGAATACTTTCCGAATACACTGTATATACATTTTCTTTTTCACACAATACATGTTGATTGCCTACAGGCGGACACATGTCTTTTTCATACTATCGTGCCAGCCAGTATCGTACTGTGCTAGCTTAATATTTTATTTTCACATTGTCCTCTCTCCGGCACAGTTCCAGCATTTATAGTGGATGTGTAACCAGGCCATCGCAATACACCTTGGCCCGACCCAGTACTGTGAAATAGGCAATACACTCAAACATCTTAACATATTCAATGAATCATGCATCATAATTAAATTTCAATACATGGTGGGGGGGGGGGGGGGGTCATTTAAAACATTCACAAAATACAGGACAGCGACTTCCTGCGATGCATCTACTGTAAGAAATGTCCAGGTTGGCTAAGGATAATATTGTGGTCAGTGGTATGGAAACACACTCTAAGGGTCAACGGCAGATGCCCTGTTTGTACAAGATTGGCACTTACCTCTGTTGTAACCACCCTGCTTCTGCTGGTAGCCTCCTTTCTGATCTGTAATAGACACACGCACACAGGACCCAACAAATCACTTACAGTCAGTGTTACTTGTTGTATGTGGTGCCTATGTGTCATGTCCCTAAGCACCAAGAGGATTCAGTAAGTGGTATTTGTGGCAACTTTCATCATCTCATGTAGCGGGGCATATTTCAACAAAATACTGATATATAATCAGTATGCTAGTATTTGTGCTCTTGTTGGACTATGTAGGAGTACATAAAAAATAAAAAAACATTGTAAAGTGGTTATCCCACTGGCTATGAGGTGAATGCACCAATTTCTAAGTCACTCTGGATAAGAGCGTCTGCTAAATGACAAATGTAAATGAGTAAGGCATTTCAGTCTACCCCGAAAGCTGCCACATTTTAAGCACATTTCAGTTAATTTGATAGTGCGATAGATGGGACTACTCTATATGACTGATTTGATAAAAGACTGATCTGATTAAGATCCTGGGTGAACTAAACCGTGTCTCTAGTAATGGTGGGTGATAACATTTTACATTTACATTTTAGTCATTTAGCAGACGCTCTTATCCAGAGCGACTTACAGGAGCAATTAGGTGCCTTGCTCAAGGGCACAGACAGATATTTCACCTAGTCGGCTCGGGGATTAGAACCAGCGACCTTTCGGTTACTGGCACAACGCTCTTACCCACTAAGCTACCTGCCATCCCTGACGCGTACTCACTTCATTTTGGTTTAAATTGACTCCTACATGGCTAACGATAAACAGCCTCTCCTCTGTCTCTGTAGTGTTGAGTAATTTTATGTTTTATTTGCACATATTAAGAAGTAGAGGGTGAGATACATGAAGGGTAGACCGTATGAAAAGGTGGACACGGGACCGTCTCATGCTTCGTAAACAGATATAAACTACCAGTCAAAAGTTTGTACACACCTACTCATTCAAGGGTTTTTCTTAAATTTTTAAATTGTAGAATAATAGTGAAGACATCAAAACTATGAAATAACACATGGAATCATGTAGTAAACAAAAAAGTGTTAAACCTAAATATATTTTATAGCTTGCTAATAGTCTTCTAAAACGAATGCTAGACAGTCAGGGAGCATTAAATTCCAAAAGCGATGGATATGGGACTATTTTTAGCAAATTTTTGACAGCGGGGAATTACAAAAACATTTAAGTGTGGCCCTCCGGACCTTGGAGAAGACCGAATACACTAGACCAAAGGCTCTGCACATGCAGAGCTGCCAACCTAGAATAATTTTTATGAGTACCACTTCCGCGCAGCGGCACCCCTGGCTCCGGACACCACAATGGCGCGCATGCGACACCCCACACTGCTTAAATCATAGGCAAATGCACTTTTTTAGCCTAATAATGATGTTGGCAGAAGACTGCCTCAGTAGGAATGGTAGTCTATAGACGTATGGGTACTTAGCTTAGTGGTTAAGAGCGTATTGCCTAAGAGCGTATTGCCAGTAACCGAAAGGTCGCTGGTTCTAATCCCCGAATCGACTAGGTGAAAAATCTGTCGATGTGCCCTTGAGCAAGGCACTTAACCCTAATTGCTCCTGTAAGTCGCTCTGGATAAGAGCGTCTGCTAAATGACTAAAATGTAAATGTAAATGTACTTGGTAATTGGCTGCTCTTCAGTAGCCAACTAGAAATACATTTAAATGTACAAATCAAGTCTCTCCCTAGGATTTTCTGACAAGGTTGTGCTGATGTAGACCTATGCTTGGGTAGGGGGGAGGTCCGAAGACTGAGCATTTAGCTTTTTTTTTTTTTTTTTTTTTTTTAAACCTGTAACTGCCATTTCCTGAAACAGTCTTAAATTATATTTAAAAATGTAGCCAACACAGAAGTCTTGTGCTTGATCCTCAATGAAATTGAGCTGGTCTCTATTTTAGGTACAATTTAGGGGTAATGATTATTCTTATTAATATTTGTCTTTATGTGGATAGTCTAATGAAAATGTAAACGGGCTTCTTAATTTTGTTTGGGAAGAAAATTCTGAAAAATTCAATTACTGGATGCAATGTAGTAGTCTAGCTTACTGTAGGCTATTTGGAATATGAAAGAACTGAACTAGACCTATCTGAGCTTGTTTCAGATCTCTATCCCTGACCTAATCCATCAAGTTAGATCTGACTACTAGGCTACCATTCATTCAACATGCCTTGTTGTTATTGGTGAACTGACTAGGCTATTATCCCATTATTAGCAGCCTACTGTTGACATACAGCTATATCAAGAGGACAGATCAAAACTGATGAATTAACAGACTAAAGATTATTAGGCCTAACGTACCTTTGCGGAACAGCCCTGTCTGCCATGTCTGTTTCCATCCGCGCAGCGACGCACACTGAACTAATCGCAACACTGCACGTTTCCTTGCTAGTCAATGTGCTCGCGCCCATTACCGTTGCGGAGATCAAAGAATGTGTGGGCAAGAACGTGTTCTGGCTTAGTTGACTAAACGCTGTAGCTATCTACCTTTGTCATAATGACGCCTTAGCTAAGGACCCAACTACGAAATAATAGTGGATATGTGCTTGACTAACGCATACAATTTTGGAACATGTATTTGGCAAACAGTTCGTTCTCCATTTTCCCTACCCTTTTTCCTCACACATCAGTGGTATCAGACAAAGTGGGGTGCTGCCATCCAGCTTGAGAGAGGAAACTACTATGACTACGGGGGCGGGTTGGAGAGCTAGAGATTTTTTCACCATGCCCAAGTCCTCTGATTGGCTCCAACTTCAAACATTTGAGTCAAAAACAACGTGATAACTAGAAGCCTATTTTGGCATATTTCTGGGTTGTTTTTCGTACCAGCGTACTTTGACCTCAAATTGTGTGCATGATACACAAAATGCGTGCAGGTTGGCATGTATTCTATGGGGCTGCCCCACTAACCTCTGTTGAAGTAGCCGCCGTAGACGCCCTGCTTGAGGTCAAAGATACGCTCATTGTTCTCCACCAGGCCGCCCAGCTTCTCGGCCAGCTGCAGGGCCATGTTCTGCAGGGAGGTGGGCTCTGTGCGGTGCATCACCACAGTCTGGGTGGGCTGGTCCAGAGATGCCTGGGGGAGGGGAGACACAGATGACACATGGACAGACAGAGATACGCACAGGAGAAAGCCATTCAGACAAACACAGACATTAACATATTACACCTTCATATTCATACAATCATATCTAGCTTAATTAAGTCAAATGGGGCTGTGGCGGTCTACACATGACACCACACATCCCTGTGAGATCATTGATGCCGTGAGTGTTACCATGAGCTCCTCATTGATGATCATCTTGCTGATGATGCTGTGCACCGTGGGCAGCTCCAGCTCAAACATTTCATTCAGCGTCTCCATACTGAGTCAAAGAGAGGGGAAGGAGAAATGTATTCATGTTATTTTTCCATTCTTTAACCAGGCAAGCCAATTATATGATGAGGCACAGTAGATGTAGGCTGGTCCCAGATCATTTTGTGCTGTATAACCAAATGGTAGCCTCAGAAACCCAGTCTTCTCACATTAGTTTGACAGCAAAGTAGTCTTGCTTGGGTTTGTTAGAGGGTGATGTAAACCTTTGTCCTATTGTGATTATGTACCCATAAAACATTGTGATATACAATGCTAATCGACCCTGTTGTTCTCTCTCCCATAAAGCGGTGATTGAGAATAGCCTATGCCTAGGATATAGACTTTCATTCTTGTTCTTTTTGAAAGCCACAACACCTGTGTAGGCTAGAATATTTGGGAAATAAGCTACTGTTCATAAAGTTGTCTTAAACCTTTTATGATAGGCCTAGTAAGAGGATAGGCTATTGGCCATTTGGTTTTCAACCTTGCATGGAGGGATTTTCCCAGCAGCATAAATCATTTATTTCTTAAAAAGCTTTAACTTGATTAAACTTGTAATTCCATTTTTCTATAGTCTATTGATATTGTTTGTTCTCTCTCATTATTAGCGCTCTGGTTACCTTAAGTTTTTAGGTTATTCAAATAACAGATGGAACTCAGTTACATTTGTTTGATCGGGAGAAAGTCATGCTCCTTTTGGCCTGCATTCCGTTTTTTACTGCTCTGCGCCAGTCAAGTTCAAATCGGCTAAACCAGTGGTATTTAACCTTTTTCAGCAGGGACCCAATTTATTCGCCAGAATTTCTGGGGACCGAACCCCAAATCTAATGACGCAACCTTTAATAGTTTAGATTTTTCATTTTCACAACAACAAATATCCTTCAATTCATTAAATGTTAATCTCTTATCAAAATGAAGAGTCCAATGAATACATTTACTCAAATTGTATTTTTGTTACCCTTCTCAAAAACGTTTGTATATTATCCCATACAATAATATGTCATCTTAATTTCTGCAATTCCCTGGGTTCGCGACCCCGACTTTGAATACCACTGGGCTAAAACATCGTTGTCATATCACAATGTCGTCACCATTGACGATTGCTGTCAATCATCGTTGATAGACAATGCTTTCGTAATGTCGCCCAACCCTGGTCTAGATGGAAACTAGTGAAGTATTTCGCAGTGGAGTTCCAAAAAGACATGTTTAAAAATCTGACTTGCAACAAACTAGCATGGGGACCAGGATACAGCAGTTAAGAATATCCACTGAATGTGCTTTTTAGTCCAAGACTAGGCGTATTCTGTAACTGAGAAACCACCTCTAATAGTTGTAAAAGTTATTACCTGATGGAGTCATAAACGCTGCTGTAGGTGAACAGGTACGTCCTCAGAGACTCCTCCTGGATCTTCCTGCAACCACAAACAATCAGGAAACGTTACAGGAACGCTACCTCTGAAGGAGGCACTGTGATGCCGAAACGTTAGTTCAGTCATGAAATAACCAATTACTGTGAGTAATAGAGTGTGAAACTTAATTTTTCAAAAGAAAGCTTCTAAAAAGGTAGTGTTTTATTTTCATTTGACAATCTTGATTGAATTCATTTTATTTAACCATTCCAGGCTGCGATTGGTTGATACTGCCTACTGAAATACGACTACTGATAAAACTAGGGACAGTTGCACAAGAGGGGGTTGATGCAGACCTTATTTATCGTCAATTCTCGAAACACTCACCTGACGAGCATCTCTCGTACACACTGTGTCTCAGGGAACAGATCCCACACCTTGCTGTTCATCTTCTCGTTGATGATGAATGAGTGGCAGGTGCGCCAGTCGCCCATCTTCATGGACTTGCTGGCCGCCACCACGTGCTCGCGCATGCTCTCTGGGGGACCTGGAGGGGGCACGAAGAAGGATGGATTTGTTTAGTGTTTGTATGTCCATTGTAGTGTCTGTATTGGTACTTGTCTGTATTAGCTGTACAAAAAAGGTCAAATGCAGCCATTTTTATCTCAATATCCAATCATTTCTGAGTAACCATTAAGCACCCTTGTCTATTAAAATGGTCAAAAATATACTTTTTAAATAGCTTCTTAGAAAAGAGCAATTTCTCAATCAAGAATTTTGCTAGGATTGTCTGGGAGTGGTCTGAGTAGGGAGGGGAAAACTGAAAACGAGTCGTTATTGGCAGAGAGGTTTAGAACTCTTTCTGCCTGGGGATGTCAACAGGCAGGCCAAAACTCCATCCCACCAAAACAGACTGAAATTTCTGGGGGCCTTTTCAAACAGCTCTTACACTAAGAGGGCATCATCATAACTTTCACAATATTACACATACAAGCTGCTGATGTGCGTCTCATTCAAGGGTTTTACTTTATTTGTACAATTTTATTTGCTTATTTGAGCTGTTCTTGCCATAATATGGAATTGGTATTTTACCATCTTCTGTATAGCCCCCCTACCTTGTCACAACACAACTGATTGGCTCAAACGCATTAAGAGGAAATAAATTCCACAAATTAACTTTTAAGATGGCACACCTGTTAATTGAAATGCATTCCAGGTGACTACCTCATTAGCTGGTTGAGAGAATGCCAAGAGTGTGCAAAGATGTCATCAAGGCAAAGGGTGGCTATTTGAAGAATATTTTGATTTGTTTAACACTTTTTTGGTCACTACATGATTCCATATGTATTATTTCATAGTTTATGTCTTCACTATTATTCTACAATGTAAAAAAAAATAGTAAAAATTAAGAAAAACCCTTGAATGAGTAGTTGTGTCCAAACTTTTGACTGCTACTGTACACCATAACAATACATCCATTATTTATTTTAGGCAGGTCTAAATAAACATTATGATATGAAGAAAATGTATTTCAGAAGAACCGAACAGGAGTCTGCTTACTGTATGTTATCTGGCTATGTGCCATGCCATAGGCTGTAGGCTAGTTTATTTAGCAAACAAGATATGCTTATAAGTCCAGTGCCATTATTTTATTCTACATGCTTTTTATATGCCGCCCCGGCTACCTGCCGGGGCGGCAGGTAGCTTAGTGGCTAAGAGCGTTGTGCCAGTAATCGAAAGGTCGCTGATTCTAATCCCTGAGCCGACTAGGTGAAAAATCTGCCGATGTGCCCTTGAGCAAGGCACTTAACCCTAATTGCTCATGTAAGTCGCTCTGGATAAGAGCGTCTGCTAAATGACGTAAATGTAAATGTAAATGTAGTAAGAATATAACTGAACTTAGCAGTATAAAATACAACATACCCTTTTCCCATTCCGGAGCGAGTGTGCATATGAAGTGCTCATGTTGAGCGTAAAAGTGATCATTTGAAACAGGTCCTATACGCTAGATTTAGTTATTTGGCAAATTTAGTTGTGAATTATGCAAACCTTAGAATGTCTTAGAAATCAAAACATATGGGCTGCATGATGAGACTATAGGCTATTGACTATTTTAAAAAGCTGCAAAAAAAGATTGTGCTCTGTTCCTTGCCTCAGGCTGCACACGGTGTTCTCTCATCAAGTGATCATATTTTCACCCATTAAGACTATTCTCAATGAAATCTTGTCTTTACTAATATGTCAAATGTATTTGAGTTGGAATAGCCCATTATCAAATGGGCAGGGGAAAAAATACATGTCATCCGTATGCACTCGAATAGCGAATGGAGGCCGCTTTCCCGCAGTTCATTTTAAGCCGGAGTAACTCCGATTTTATAGTAGAGCAACTGAGAAATAAATATAGCTTAGTAGCAGGTGGGATCCTCCTCTTTTTAGTGGCAATCATTAAAAAATAAAATAAAAAATTATACTTTCACACGGGATTGTATTTAGAAATATCTGGGCTTATAAGAACACTTATTTCACTTCACGCATCAACCCTGTTTGAGGAGCATGCAGCCACTCGCTGCACGACAGGTGATATTCTGCCCAAACTCTTTAGGCCATGGGCTCTCCAATCATGTTCCTGCAGCTACCCAGTGCTTAATTTGGTAAACCAAGTGAAATCTGTTTGGGAACGTTTCACAACAAAACATATTTGATAAAACTGTTGACAGCCCCCATCTCTGCACACACAAGAAAGGAATGAAGGAGAGAGAGGAGGAGGAGATGGAAACGCACGGTGGTGAGCCAGCCTATTAAATTATATATACACAAAAAAAAAAGCCCCATTACTAGGCTAGTCTAAATCAAATACACTATAATTGTAAGACACCTCTGTAAGCCGCCTTGCACAATCAATGTACCAACTAGTGGTCACCAACCGGTCGATCGCGCGGTAGGTGCACCAGATTCAACTGCCCTGTGCGCCAGGTAGGCAAAGTGTTCTGATTTTGAACCATTTCATGCGTCTGAAGGTACAAACTCTGCCTTACCGGCGGACCCGGAGAGCAAATCAAGTGCACTATAGGCCTACCAGATTACAGTGTTTGCAGTATGACCATCACAGCGAGGTCCAAAAATGTAGCCTAACGGTGAGTTTTAAAAGCAAGATACAGTTTTAAAGTGTTTGATGAGATTTTCGATTGCATTTGCATTGATGTCACAGTGGTTAGAGGGACAATAGAGCCCTGAGTACCAGGCCATTAGGACCTGATGGTTAGAGGGACAATAGAGCCCTGAGTACCAGGCCATTAGGACCTGATGGTCGTTAGCGAGTTGAGTACTGCCAACGCATGTCAAGTGCATAAGAGGAGATTACCGTGACTCAACGGTCATGTGAAATTTGACTGCGGTCATGACTGCCGGTGTGGCGGTATTACGGTCACCGCAACATCCCTAAATGTACATTGTGTGTTGACATCTCAGGATTACTGGATATTTTGAAGGCCAATCAGAATAAAAACGACAGTTTTCACCCCTATGTCTTACTTAAGTCCTGTCTGTCAGTCTCTTTTCTAGGTATGAGTTACTTGTGCCCACCCACCTTTTGGTCCTAAACTAGTGTTCATTAGGGCACGCAATTTTCTAAAACCGAAATGAGAGTTTCTTTTTGGACAGTTCCAGAATAGTCCCTCTCCATTTCAGTATGTTTTCTTCCATTTGGTGCCTAATGAACACAACCCTGCCTTGTCACCACTGTCTACTGCACGTACCAAGAAGGGGCTGTCTCTCGCCCACCCTCAGCTGGTGGTGAAACTGCTTGCTGATCATCCTGCGGCGGGCGTCAAACTCGTGGGCCGCCATGTAGGGGATCTCCAGCAGCATGGCAGACACCAGGTACACGCACTCCAGCAGCTCCAGGTTGATGTGCATGTGGAAGGGCACCTGGAACAAGATGGACAACAATGTCACGTCGTAAACCAAACCCAGTCAGTGTAGTGTATCAGTGTAAAACTGTACAATAGTCAAAACAGACTAGTATAACAGACTCTGGTCCTCGGTAGCTCAATTGGTAGAGCACAGCGCTTGTAACGCCAGGGTAGTGGGTTCGATCCCCGGGACCACCCATACGGAAAAATGTATGCACACATGACTGTAAGTCGCTTTGGATAAAAGCAGCTGCTAAATGGCATACATTATCATTATTAATAAAAATATCTTTAGGCCTAATAACGTGAAAATCTGTATTTCATCTTTCCAGACAAAGGCTTTACAGCTCGGAAGCTACGCAGAAGAGGTCTGTGACCCCGACGTGGTCAGGTTTTGCCTAGCCCACATGTTTAGCCTACCTGTGTAGCCGAGATTGGTCTACCAGTCGTCTCTTTTCAATCGTTTCATGCTCGGCTGGGTTTAGTCTAGCCTAGCCTAGCCAAACCCTACCTGTAGTGTATTCGATCCACTACTGTTCTGCTGGCTTCAACCTATCCCAGCCTTAGCTTATCTGTGGTCTTTTCTGCTGGGTTTAGCCTAGCCTAGCTGTAGCCTACCAGTGGTTTCTACCGCTGAGTTTAGCTTAGCCAAGCCGCAGCTTACCTGTCGCCTCTTCTCGATCTTCTCCTGTTCTGCATTCCTCTCCTGCATGTTCCTCATGAGCAGGCCCTGGCCCAGCAGCTCCTTGGCGCGGCCACTCGACTGGATGTCCAGCAGGGCATTGTGGGCATCCTTGATCATGCCCTGGCGGAAGGCACAGATCCCCAGCTGCACCATGGTCCTGTTGTACAGGATCTGGAGGGGGGGGAAGACATGGTCACACACACACAGTTCTATCAGTCTGTGTAGGTGTACACACGCACAATTTTTTTAGCGTAGGGCTTCGGAGTGCAATAATTTAGTCGGATTTTGAGTCTGTTTGACGTGGTTGTGCAAGTTCAATGTTTTCTTGGTCACATCGGTGCGAGCTTCAAATTGTAGTTGATCACTTTACTCAAAGCTTTCTGTTTTTGGGGTGGTTAAAAGCTTGATTTGGTCAAGCAGGCTTATCCTGATCCCTGCAATCAAAGTGTCTGCCCTGCTCCTGTGCCCGTTTCGCTGGCGGGAGCGACTCACTCCCTCCCCCCTGGGCACTTTGAGTAGACAGAAAGAGAAAATGTGTTCTGATTGCGCAACATTTCAAAATGCAAATCGCGGAAAAAAACGGTTTTGAAAGCAACTACTGTTGAGACAGTTGAGGAGAGTCTCAGCTTTATGTAGGTATTACATGCATTTGTTTATTTTCTGAACTCTAAATATTGAGTGTTTTAGCAACGCTTTTACAACAAATTAACTTTGAGATTCGGCGCGAGCAAAGCGCTTATTGGCCATTGCATAGGCCTATATAGATATCATTGGGTAGTATGTGGCAAAGTTTTTAGGACATTAAATGTATTGTTAGTTGTAATTCATCTAACTAGCAGCTTATTATATTTAGTAAGTTGAGTTTCCACCTTCTTAGATGGTGAATAAGCCCCGAATAAAGTAAAGCCTATGTGATATTAGCAGGGGCGCAACTTTAGTTTTAGAAGTGGGGAGATATCTATATATCTATATATCTATATATCTATATATATATATATATCTACACATACACACACTTCACACAGTTGAAGTCGGAAGTTTACATACACTTAGGTTGGAGTCATTAAAACTCGTTTTTCAACCTCTCCACAAATTTCTTGTTAACAAACTATAGCTTTGGCAAGTCGGTTAGGACATCTACTTTGTGCATGACAAGTAATTTTTCCAACAATTGTTCACAGTCAGATTATTTCACTTATAATTCACTGTATCACAATTCCAGTGGGTCAGAAGTTTACATACACTAAGTTGACTGTGCCTTTAAACAGCTTGGAAAATTCCAGAAAATGATGTCATGGCTTTAGAAGCTTCTGATACACTAATTGACATCATTTGAGTCAATTGGAGGTGTACCTGTGGATGTATTTCAAGGCCTAACTTCAAACTCAGTGCCTCTTTGCTTGACATCATGGGAAAATCAAAAGAAATCAGCCAAGACCTCAGAAAAAAATTGTAGACCTCCACAAGTCTGGTTTATCCTTGGGAGCAAGGAATGTAGTGAAGTAAAAATAAAAGTTGGCAAAATTATAAAATTGTAAAGTAAAGTACAGATACCCCCCAAAAAACCTACTGAAGTAGTACTTTCAAGTATTTTTACCTGAGTATTTTACACCACTGCAGATGTTGCCCAGCAGGCTTGTATGAACATCTTGGCTGCTGCCCTGTGTTGTGTGTGTGTGTGTGTGCCCCTACACTCACGTGTTCATACCTGTACAGGTGGGTCGGCGTGCTGAATATTATCCTGCAGGTGGCTCATGAGCATCAGGTCACGGGCTTGGTACCAACGCGAGTGCAGCGCGTGGTGGTAAATGTGGCACAGGATGGCGCACGTGCGGATGCGGTCCGTGCGGTCCTTGGCGTAGATGAACTTGCACAGGCGGTCCATGATGAAAGCACTGTCCTCACCCTCGCTCTCCTCCGCATCCTGCTCAGACTAGGAAGGAGGTAGAGAGACAAAGGTGGAGAGGAACTCAATGTGAGCTGAGTACAAGGTTGGGTTATGACATTAGCTCATGGATAATAATTATTTTGTATCCAATTAACACTTGGGAAAGTATTCATAGTCGGGAAAAGCATTCAATTGACTATTTAGGGGGCCCTCAATAGTCTGATAAGTTCTACACAAATTCCTAGTGAGTATCCGCCATATTGCTTACACCTCTCCTATCCTGCAATTTCAAACGAGAAAGAGGAGACGAGGAAGTCATTTTTTACAATTGAGATGCAGCCTTGGGGTCCATTGAAATAGAATTACCAAAACAGACATTCCCATTCAAGTTCTATGTGTGGACCGGCTGCCATATTTAGTGTACCCATAACAAGGAAGTCATTTTATGTCTATGTTGGGGTCTCTGTCAGTTTTCTTACCTTGGTCTCTCCCTGGAGGCCCAGGGCGCGTCGGTGAGCCTTGTAGTCAAACTTGTAGTAGGTGTGCATGATGCGGCGTAGGTAGACGCGGCACACCTCCTCCGTGCTGCCCTTGGTCTCCAGGTAGCCCAGCAGGCGGTCGATGATGCCGCACACACGCCCCTCGTCCTTCAGGTTGTCCACGTATTCTGGGGGAGATATGGAGAGTGAGTGATTGAATATGATCATGTAAGATTGAAAGTGAGTGTGAAAGAGATATCAGATCAAAACGCAGTGGTAAGGAAACACACTAATTATGGGTATGGGTTTTCGTAGCTGAAAAAGTGATCCCAATGTGTTAAGGGTACATGGTACAGGTTTTCATAGGAATTCTATTGCTGTCTACTCTATAAATCATTTTACTTCATATGTGTCTATAGTGATTGAGTATCAATTTAGTTTTGTCCTTGGCAAACGCACAAGTGACCTCTATAATGTGAAAATGGGGATGTGGATCCAAAATGGCACATACACTATGGGAGGGCCTCACCTTGAGAGTGGGGGTCAGTGTTCTGCATGATCTTGGTGAATTCCTCGTCCATCCTCTCCACCAAGGTCAGAATGCAGCCGCGCACCCTGAATGGCTGAGGAAGATGGAGAAACTGACTTTAGCTGGACAATCTACTTCTACTGTAAACTGTAACCTATCACATGAAGTGTATTGTCATTCTTGCCAAGCCTGCCTATTCTTGCCAAAAGGACCAATATGGAAATAAGTAAAAGATTGTTATATTTGATAGGTTTTTCTAACGTACATAATGCTTGTTCTTGATTGTATACGTATTTATTCATTTTAAAATTATATTAGAGCTTTATTTTCCTGTGAGGGAACTTCTTGTTTGGAGTAGTTCAAATAAATTCAACCAACCAATCAATAATTCACTGTAAGAAATTCAATCAACCAAACATTCACTTTAAGAGTTTTCTGTGAGAGAATTACCTGAGAGTCGGCGATGGCCAGGTTCTCACTGTCCTCGGCGATGTTCTCGCCGATAAATATGTTGTTGTTGTTAAAGAGGATGTCCAGCAGCTCGTCAATGCAGTCCAGACAGGTCTTCCACATGTCAGCCTGGGAGAGGGGTGGTGCGGAACATGTAAAGGGGATGTGGAGAATATTAGTGGGAATTGGGGCCACGCTCAGGGACGGATACAGGAGAATCTGGGCTGGACACGGGAGTTTATGGTTGTCAGCACCATTACGCCAGGACAAATTACTTGTAAATGTACTTGGTGAATAAACGTGATTCTGAGAAGACATTTTAAAAAATGGACAAAGTACAACTTGAACTACTATTGGGGTATTATTAAAAGGGATGGAATCGCCATTATTGTAGGATTGCAGATTTTCTCCATTTCATAGAGTTGGCGGAATTAAGGTCGCTCAGGCTCAACCCTTTCAGACAACGACGGAAAGTCTTTCTATCCGGTTAGCATAGCCACACATCCATGGAGGAGGCAGGAAGGTTTTAGCATTTGGCAATTAGTAAATTAACAATTAAGCATTTAACAAATTATCATTTAACAGCAGTGAGTCTGACCTTCATGAAGGCAGCCAGGTTGGGGTTGTAGTCGTACAGGGAGGCGATGATGTTGAACTTGATCTTGACCAGGATGCCCTCACCCAGGTTGTTCTCGTTGGAGATGTTGGCCAGAGCGTGGAGAAGCTCGATCTGGGCAGCTCTGAACAGAGCAGAAGGTAGAGAGAACAAGGGGTGTAGGGACAGTGTTAGGTTAGTTTTGGGTCTTTTCAGGCGTTGGTGTCATATCGGCTAGGGCTTTTACTCAATGGAGTTTTTGTCTGGTCGCAAAAGAAACCCCATTTTTTGGGGGGGACAGAGCATTTATGTAAATGTGGTCAAATGAGTTGTACCTGTCTGTTCCCTTCTTTCCACGGGCCTGCAGAATCTCATTGAGTTTCTTTACCACAACTGTTGTGTTGATCTCTGTTCCCTTGGCAAACATCTGAAGCTTCTCCTGTCGGGAGAAGCAATTAGCACACCAAACACATCCTCTGGCAGGTTTGGGTCTGTATTAACAAAGCGTCTCAGAGTAGGAGTGCTAATCTAGGATCAGGTCCCCCGTCTATTCATTACAATCGAAAAGGCAGAACTGATCCTAAATTAGCAGCACTTTTACTCAGACGCGTTATGACTCCGGGCCCAAGTCTATAGGACCATTGGGTCGTGTTCATTTGGACACGCAACAGAAAATGCTTTAAAACGTTTTGCAATGGAAAACAAAAATTAGCGTTTCTTGTTGGTAAAGTCCAAGTGGTCCCTCCACGTTTCAATCAGTTTTCTTACATTTGGTGCCTAATGAACATGAACCATATATATAGATAAGTGTAGTGAGGATACTCTTTGTATTGTCATGACATGACTTGATTACCCACCTTAACGAGGGGCACTCCTCCCTTCACCTTCTCCCATTCGCCTTCACCCTCCTCTTGGGCCTCTTCCTCTGCCTCTTCCTCCAGGCGCTCCTTCCGCTTGTGTCTCTTCTTCCTATCCTCCTTTTTCTTCTCGCTGGTGTGTCGCTCGGCCTCGCTACCGGGCCTGGCGAGACAGAATGGGATGTTGTAAATACTTTGTCAGACAGTGTCTAAAACTGATCTGAGGTCAGAGACACGCGTCTCTAGAGCAGGGGTAGGCAACTAGATTCTGTTGTCGGCTGATTTCTTCCCGGAACAGAAGGTCGGGGGGCCAGAACCTAATTTATTTTTCTTAACTAAGAAAACTGAGGGGCCAAATGAAATCATGGGCCTGAATTTGGCCCGCAGGGCATCTGTTGCCGACCCCTGCTCTAGAGTATAGTTTTACATACAGAGTGAGAGCTCCTGAATTAAAGTAAGAGGCAGGATGTTTAGAAGTAGAGCAATGTTCGGCTACACAGGCAGTGATAGACTCAATCCACAATCATTCTGTCCTAACGCGTGAGGTAAAAAGGATGATGTTGTAAAAAGGACAGGGAAAGGGACTGACTTCTTGAGGAAGATTTGGGCCATTGAGGCATTCTTGCCCTCTTCATCTTCACTACCGCTGCCGCTTTCCGCAGTGTCCGAGTCCCAGTCTTCGTCATCCTCATCACTGCTGCTGGAAGCTTCCTTGTCCTGTAGAAGACGACAATGTACACAGTCATTACACAATACACACATGTTAGATTAAAGTGATGGTGGACAATAACAAAGATTGACTGGCTTGGTAGGGAGAAATGATAGTGCTTTCTGATTAGGCAGCCCCCTCAGCCAAAACAGAGAAATGTCACATTTCTGGCTTACTTAATTTTCAAGCGATTGTGCTTGCCAATAACTGCGCACTGCAATAGAGCCACTGAGGGCATCCTCCATCTTACCGCTGCTGTCTTCAGGAACTTGCTGGCGTCCGGCGGTGGTGCTGCCGCCTCGGCAGCTGGTTTCTTCTTCAGGAAGCTCTTGGCAGCTCCCGGCTCTTCGTCACTATCTGACGACGACCCTACAGACACCAAGGTGATTAGAAAGAAAACAGCAGTTAAAAAACAGTGGATAGTCCATAGAATTAATGTATCAATGGCGCCCTGTGACTGTAAAGTTGGGGATTTGATCCCCAGTCAAATCATACCACTCTAAAAATGGGCCCAATGCCTCTCTGCTTGGCACTCAGCATTAAGGAGATGATTGGGGGTAAAGGTGTCCGCATGCTTCCCAGCCGAAACAGTTCGGAAGCAGTCGTGAATATATTATGACAACATTTTGTGACATTGTTGTTCGTTTTGGCAAGCCGAAGTCAGTAGCCGAAGTCTACACCCCTTCGTTGGTGATTGGTCAACAGTAGGGGTTCTTTAGTAAAGTATTGTCGTTCAACGAGACACGCCTCGTTTTAATGTAAAAAAATGTATTGACAAATATTGCAAACAACATCTTAAGATGTAAAATTGCGCGACTAATATCTCCTCGACAAAAACTTCAAAATTAAATGACAGATTTCTTGAGTTATCTTAAATTAATTCTGACTATTTCGAGGAAATGTATACTGGCTACAGCTTCTCTAAATGGGCAAACAGTACTATGGCCGCTTTTCTCTCATTTCTCAAGAGAATGTCTTTTAAGAGAGTATGTGAGCACACTCGTTCAGTTCGCCTAGCCTCCAGCAGAACAGAAGCCCTGCAATAGATTAGCATCCAGGGGGTGTACTAGTACATCAAGCCGTCTCATTATACCAAAACAGGAGGTAGTCTCCTGCCCTATGGTCGGTTCTGGCTTGGACAAGGCTACTTACTTTACTATGGGCTAGCACCCAAATGACAAAAGCAGACTTGAGTCTTCCATTACTGGCATTTACTGTAGGCATAGCTCGAGGTGTAATGAAAAGGTGTGGTAAGAAACTCACCTGATTCAACCTCATCCTTCTCCTCCTCCTCATCCGCTGACGCCATTGGGTTCTGAATGAGAGCGAGAAAAGTAAGATTGCCATTAGTAGGAACCAAGCATCTCACCCTGGCTCGGAGTGTCTTGGGAAAGGTTCATTATTAAGTCGAAATCACAAGGGGGACGTCGGAGTGAATTTATGCGTGCAAGAGTTAATTCCCAGACTGCGTAGTGTACGCCAGCATAATTGTCATGAAAAGCCATTATAAAAACAGCTATATTCTCTTGAAAATCGGAGCAACCTCATACAAGTTTACCAGTCGTATTCTAGGCTATATGCCCATGATCGAAATCACAGGTAGGCTACTGCATTGATTTCAAATAGGTAGCCTATTTGTCAGATAAACCATAGCCTACAGCCCAACATATGTTTTTAACCATACAACTTTACCTAGCAAAGTATGGACGATCATAGCAATTCTTCAAATTCCCTTTCTACAAACGATCCACTCAATCTCTAAACCACAACCACATTTGATTCATTTGAACCACTAACCATGCACTTTGTTTGAACTGTATCAAATCAATTCGGTTGTAAGCAACAACGATGATACTGTCAAGAAATTACATTGACAACCTGATATAATTCTGAAACACAATCCAGTTTATAAATGTACTAGAATGTCGTTGCAGTCATGCCGTTTTTCATAAGCACAAGCCTATACAAAACGTTGGCTTGCAGTTAAATGTAACATTAAATAGACACCAACTATACATTTCACAATTCCAGAGGTAAAACTGGAAAAACTCTGCACACTTCCAGTCAGATACTAAATGTATTTTAATAGTACCGGAGCTTTCGGTCAGTCAGGTGGAGATTAATCTCATCCACCTTCTGTCTCTGTCAAACAGTCTGGTTTCACAGCGCCTCAGAATGGAACTATGGGAGTCTATGGCAGGTAACCTAACATAGCAGGCGTAGAAAGACACCTGAGCGGAGTTCCCACTTCAGTCTTTCAGTGGAAATGGAAGTTAGGTTGAAAATGCTGTATCCCAAAAAAACAGATGTTAGTGTTTTCTGCCGACTCCGCATAGGTTAATGGCAGGATCAGCGAAAACGGCCGGCGGTTTAAATTTGGCTGATCTCTCAGTCAATCACCATCTAGAACCATCCCCCTGCATTCTGGACTTCAAAGCGCCAGCAACGCAACTGATTAAAACAAGGGAAAGAGTTCGGAAAATCTGAAAGTACACATGCATCTTATAAACAGTTTTCACATTTAAAACTTGATATGCCCGAACGCAGAATCAATTCGGCTTCCCAAAAATAAATATTGCTAATGTGATAGAACATTTACTTTGATTAGAGATTTTCCCATCTAATACACTGTCGCAGGCTCGCTCCCTCTCGGTTTCCACTAGCTTCCATAGCCACAGAGTAAGATTCCACTCGTAATTTGAATTGATTAGCATGTCACTCAGTAAATCGACACCCTAAGTTTTTCCTGTTTTTTTAGTTTTGCCTCCAGCACCTTCACTTACCGGTTTTGGGTGTGCGGTGGACTACAGTCGTGGTCAAAAGTTTTGAGAATGACACAAATACTAATTTTCACAAAGTCTGCTGCCTCAGTTTTGATAATGGCAATTTGCATATACTCCAGAATGTCATGAAGAGTGATCAGATGAATTGCAAAGTCCCTCTTTGCCATGAAAATGAACTTTATCCCCAAAAAACATTTCCACTGCATTTCAGCCCTGCCACAAAAGGACCAGCTGACATCATGTCAGTGATTCTCTCCTTAACACAGGTGAGTGTTGACGAGGACAAGGCTGGAGATCACTCGGTCATGCTGATTGAGTTAGAATAACAGACTGGAAGCTTTAAAAGGAGGGTGGTGCTTGAAATCATTGTTCTTCCTCTGTTAACCATGGTTACCTGCAAGGAAACACGTAAGGTCATCATTGCTTTACATAAAAAGGGCTTCACAGGCAAGGATATTGCTGCTAGTAAGATTGCACCTAAATCAACCATTTATCGGATCATCAAGAACTTCAAGGAGAGAGGTTCAATTGTTGTGAAGAAGGCATCAGGGCGCCCAAGAAAGTCCAGCAAGCGCCAGGACCGTCTCCTAAAGTTGATTCAGCTGCGGGATCGGGGCACCACCAGTGCAGAGCTTGCTCAGGAATGGCAGCAGGCAGCTGTGAGTGCATCTGCACGCACAGTGAGGCGAATACTTTTGGAGGATGGCCTGGTGTCAAGAAGGGCAGCAAAGATGCCACTTCTCTCCAGGAAAAACATCAGGGACAGACTGATATTCTGCAAAAGGTACAGGGATTGGACTGGGGTAAAGTCATTTTCTCTGATGAATCCCCTTTCCGATTGTTTGGGGCATCCGGACAACACCTTGTCCAGAGAAGACAAGGTGAGCGCTACCATCAGTCCTGTGTCATGCCAACAGTAAAGCATCCTGAGACCATTCATGTGTGGGGTTGCTTCTTAACTAAGGGAGTGGGCTCACTCACAATTTTGCCCAAGAACACAGCCATGAATAAAGAATGGTACCAACACATCCTCCGAGAGCAACTTCTCCCAACCATCCAAGAACAGATTGGTGACAACCAATGCCTTTTCCAGCATGATGGAGCACCTTGCCATAAGGCAAAAGTGATAACTAAGTGGCTCGGGGAACAAAACATCGACATTTTGGGTCCATGGCCAGGAAACTCCCCAGACCTTAATCCCATTGAGAACTTGTGGTCAATCCTCAAGAGGCGGGTGGACAAACAAAAACCCAAAAATTCTGACAAACTCCAAGCATTGATTATGCAAGAATGGGCTGCCATCAGTCAGGATGTGGCCCAGAAGTTCATTGACAGCATGCCGGGGCGGATTGCAGAGGTCTTGAAAAAGACTCTTTGCATAAACTTAATGTAATTGTCAATAAAAGCCTTTGACACTTATGGAATGCTTGTAATTATACTTCAGTATACCATAGTAACATCTGACAAAAATCTCATAACACTGAAGCGGCGAACTTTGTGAAGACCAATACTTGTGTCATTCTCAAAACTTTTTACCACAACTGTACGGACTATTTATAATCAAATTTGACCCGCATTGCTCCGCGTAGACACAAGAACAATAGACTTGCTTCCTAGCTTGACGCTCTATATGCTTGTGACACCGTTGACGCTCCCGGCACATCTGTTCTCTCATTCGCTCCCATGCATTCGATTTCCAGCATAAGCACGCTAAAAAAACTCAAACTCTCCCTGTGTGATTTGGGCTTTGGAATAGTGCCTTCAGAAAGTGTTCACTCCCCTTGAATATTTCCCCATTTTGTTGTTACAAAGAGGGCCTAAAATGGACTTCATTGTCATTTTTTGGACAACAACCTACAAAGAAAAATTCTAACAATTACAAAAAGGAGGAGAAAAAAACATCTTGATCAGATAAGTATTCAACCCCTTGAGTCAATAGATGTTAGAATCACCTTTGGCAGCGATCACAGCTATGAGTCTTTCTGGGTAAGTCTCTAAGAGCTTTCCACACCTGGATTATGCATCATTTGCCAATTATTTTTTTCAGAATTCTTCAAGCTCTGTCAAATTGGTTGTTGATGATTACTAGACAACCATTTTTCAGGTCTTGCCATAGTTTTTACTTAAATCTGCTTGAAAATCTAACTCGGCCACTCAGGAACATTCACCGTCTTTTTGGTAAGCAACTCCAGCGTAGATTTGGCCTTGTATTTTAGGTTATTGTCCTGCTGAAAGGTCAATTCATCTGGAAAGCAGACAACCAGATTTTGCCTGTGCTTAGCTCCATTCCGTTTATTTATTTTTATCCTGAAACTCCACAGTCCTTAACGATTACAAGCATACCCATAACATGATGCAGCCACCACTATGCTTGAAAATATGGAGAGTGGTACACAGTAATGTGTTGTATTGGATTTGCCCCAAACACAACAGGACAAAAAGTTACTTGCTTTGCCTTTTTTTCCAGTATTGCTTTAGTGCCTTGTTTCCTGTTTTGGAATATTTTTTATTCTGTACAGCCTTCCTTCTTTTCACTCTGTGCATTAGGTTAGTCTTGTGTAGTAAAACTACAATGTTGTTGATCCATCCTCAGTACTCTCCTATCACAGCCATTATACTAAAATCACCATTGGCCTCATTGTGAAATCCCTGAGCGGTTTCCTTCCTCTCTGGCAACTGAGTTAGGAAGGACGCCTGTATCTTTGTAGTGACTGGGTGTATTGATACACCATCCAAAGTGTAATTAATAACTTCACCATGCTCAAAGGGATATTCAATGTCTGCTTCTTTTTACCCATCTACCAATAGGTGCCCTTCTTCGCAAGGCATTGGAAAACCTCCCTGGTATTTGTGGTTGAATCAGTGTTTGAAATTCACTGCTCGACTGAGGGACCTTACAGATAATTGTATGTGTGGGGTACAGGGCTGAGGTAGTCATTCAAAAAACCATGTTAAACACTATTATTGCACACAGTGAGTCCATGCAACTTACTCTGTGACTTGTTAAGCACATTATTACTACGGAACTTATGTAGGCTTGCCATAACAAAATGGGTTGAATACTTACTCAAGACATTTCAGCTTTTCATTCATTTGAAACATTTTCGAAAAACATAATTCCACTTTGACATTATGGGGTATTGTGTGTAGGCCAGTAACAAAAAAAATCGTAACTTAAATTTACATTTGAGTCATTTAGCAGACGCTCTTATCCAGAGCGACTTACAGTTAGTGAGTGCATACATTTTCATACGCAATCAATTTTTTATTCAGGCTGTAACACAAGATATGGAAGAAATCAAGGTGTGTGAATACTTTCTGAAGGCACTGAATGTTCAATTTCTTTTGCCATAATGAATATGTGGATTCTTCAAATGTAGTTTCATATGTGCGTTCCTTATTGGTAAATGTTATTTGCACCGTTTTTGAAAGAGATTCCTAAGAATCTACCATCCTTTGTTGTCATAGTGAAAAGCCTCACCTCCTTATAGCTGGTGATTTCTGTCTCGTAATCCCGGTTGTACTTGCGGATCTTCTGCCGCAGGGTGCTGAGGGCTTTGGCGTTGTTCTTGTTCATCTTCTTCTTGCCTTCTTTGTCCTCCCAAAGCTGTAGGAAAACATTAAACATCATCGTGTTTAGGATAGAGGTAGGAGTGCGTCTTCATAAATCACATTTAGCATAGCCAGATCAGGACCTAACATAAGGACAGAGTAGGCTATTCTGTTCTTCTGAAATAGACTACATGCTTTTTTAGACCTGTCTAAATTAAATAAATGGTGTAAGCTATGTTACATGGATTTATTATACTTTTATAAATGTAGATGTTCCAAAGGTCTGCATCAGTGGCTTGTAGGCTGTGTGTGGAAGCCAGGAGATGCTAAATGTGTTCATGTTAATTAACATCAATTACCGTGAGACTGACAGTTATTTGCTTGACAATCACCGGCTGACGAAATTTCGTGACCGCCACAGCCCTATGTACCTTTAAGGCGAGACCCTTAATGGGTTATGAAAGAAAAATCCACTACAAAACAACTCTGAGATCTGGGATGTGAAAACTGATGCTCAACATCTCAGAACTATGCATTGCACAGATAGAACCTTATAGTCCCAAGATGTCACAGGGCTGACAGTCGAGCAGTTTCACATGCAGAAACAGTGTGAACTGTGAAGGTTTACCTGATTCAAATAGTCTTCCAGGTCGGCCAGAAGACGGATGTAGAAGGGGGGCACCCCTTCCTTGTCCACTATAGTCTTGCTTTTGAGGAACGCTCGACAGAGCTGCTCAAAGTCCTCCAGACACTTGGACATGTCTCGGATCTTCATTGCGTTGCGGATCGTCTTGATCAGGTTAGTCAGCTCCTCAAACCTGGGACATAAGAATGGGTTAGATGGCATAGTCCAGGGAAGGCATACTAACAACACATACTGGACTGCCTCAGACAGTCGGGGGATGTTAGTCTGGTCCCAGATATGTTTACGCTGTGCAGCCAACTCCTATGGGTGGTAGCCTGGTCCCAGATCAGTTATGCCTTTGCTGTATTGCCAACTCCTATGATCGTTGTTAGCCAAACGGCATGACAACTACCATAGGAGTTGGCTATACAGCCCAACCAGATCAGGGACAAGGCTAAGGAGATGGTTCTTTGGATCATGGAGTAGAGTAAATGACCTACCTCTTGTCCTTGGCACTGCGCACCACTCTCTTGGTGTCCTCCTCATCGTCACTAAGTAGCAATGACCTACAAGGACCAAATGTGGAAAAGTGAGAGAGCTGCAGAAACAAAAGTTAGTGTGACTGAGGTTACGGCGAGAGAAAGTAGTACTGACTGTTTGGTGAAAGTAGTTCCGGGTGCTTTAGGGGTGATCTCGTCAGCTGACGAGGACTCCTCCGACTCGCTGTCGGACCCGGTGGCAAAGAAACGTGACATTGCTGAAGGCCGCCGTCAAACTGTGGAATCATGATATCTTTTAATGAGGCGCAAACATCTGGTGCGAAGGAGCAACATGAAATTACATACATATATACAGCTCTGGAAAACCACTGCAAAATTATCAGTTTCTCTGGTTTTACTATATATATATATATATATATATATATATATATATATATATATTTGGGTAAAATTAACATTTTTCTTTTATTCTATAAACTACTGACAACATTTCTCCCAAATTCCAAATAAAAAAGTCATTTAGAGCATTTATTTGCAGAAAATGACAACTGGTCAAAATAAAAAATATGCAGTGTTGTCAGACCTCGAATAATGCAATGAAAATAAGTTCATGTTCATTTTTAAACAACACAATACTAATGTTTTAACTTAGGAAGAGTTAAGAAATCAATATTTGGTGGAATAACCCTGATTTTCAATCACAGCTTTCATGCGTCTTGGCATGCTCTCCACCAGTCTTTCACATTGATGTTTGGTGACTTCATGCCACTCCTGGCGCAAAAATTCAAGCAGCTCGGCTTTGTTTGATGGCTTGTGACCATCCATCTTCCTCTTGATCACATTCCAGAAGTTTTCAATGGGTTTCAGGTCTGGAGATTGGGCTGGCCATGACAGGGTCTTGATCTGGTGGTCCTCCATCCACACCTTGATTGACCTGGCTGTGTGGCATGGTGCATTGTCCTGCTGGAAAAACCAATCCTCAGAGTTGGGGAACAATGTCAGAGCAAAAGGAAGCAAGTTTTCTTCCAGGACAACCTTGTACGTGGCTTGATTCATGCGTCCTTCAAAGACAAATCAGCCCGATTCCAGCCTTGCTGAAGCACCCCCAGATCATCACCGTTCCTCCACCAAATTTCACAGTGGGTGCGAGACACTGTGGCTTGTAGGCCTCTCCAGGTCTCCGTCTAACCATTAGACGAACAGGTGTTGGGCAAAGCTGAAAATTGGACTCATCAGAGCAGATTAATTTACTCCAGTTCTCTACGGTCCAATCCTTATGGTCTTTTGCAAACCTCAGCCTGGCTCTTCTTTGCTTCTCATTGATGAAGGGCTTTTTTCTAGCTTTGCACAACTTCAGCCATGCCCCTAGGAGCCTGTTTCGAACCGTCCTCGCCGTGCACTTCACCCCAGCTGCCGTTTGCCATTCTTTTTGTAGGTCACTTGATGTCATCCTACGGTTGTTGAGTGACATTCGAATGAGTTGGCGGTCATCCCGGTCAGTAGAGAGTCGTTTTCGTCCTCTGCCGGTCTGTAGCTTTGTTGTCCCAATGTCTGCTGCTTGACCTTGTTCTTATGAACCGCAGTCTTTGACATTTTAAGGATGGAAGCAACCTGACGCTCACTGTATCCCTCTGCCAGTAAAGCCAGAATTGAACCCTTATTTTCCTCACTCAAAACTTTCCTTTTCAACTCTTTTGGCATGGTCAATAGTTATTTTTGGATTAATATTACTTTTGAGGTACCTTTAGCACTGTTTATGCCATCAAACTGGTCCTATTGCAAGAGGATAGTGATGACCACAGCACTGGTTTTTATACTTTTCCTCGTTAAATAGGATTTGGTTCAGGTGATCACCTAATCAGTACCTCATTCAGTAGAATGAGGTGTGCCTGTGTAAGAATTCATCAGAAACTGGAATGGAATGGCTGTCATACATGTAGAGATGCTGATTTAAGAACAATTTGCAGTGGTCTCTTAATTTTTTCCACAGCTGTATATATTTTTTTTTACTATTCTACAATCCACTTCCCTGACCACATACTGTATTTATCTGTACAAATTCCATGTGTCAGATGTAGGCCAACATGCAACTGGAAAGACTACTCTTTTCGCATGTACATCTAAATGACAGTCTACTGCATGCAATACTATTAGCTAACTCAACATTGATGGAAAGTGTTGTTTGTCTAAAGTACATAGCAAGCTTAGCTAGCTAGAAGCTAAATACACGTACCAGTTGAACCAGAAAAATATGTGGAAATACCCCACATCATTATTGAAATGATGCAGCTAGCAAGCTAGATTGCTGGCCAGTAGATGTTAAAGTCAGTATTTTATGGCACAAGACTAATAGCTAGTTAGCTAGCAGTTTAGCTAACACTTGCCCAGTGAAAAACAACAGCTAGTTAACGTAAGCTAGCTCGCAAGCGATGTTTTATTGATGTACAAGTCGTATAACCAAAAAGACAGCATATCCTCCCTGGCAAAATAGCTGATACCAATCTTATTGTGGTCAGAGCGGCTAGCTAGCTATCTGACAAACGTTGTATAATGGCTGACAAGCTAGCATGCTAACACTAACGTTAGCTACCAGTAAGCAGAAAAGCATATGATAGCGCAAGAACAGAGCCATATATTTAGAGGTAGGCCAACTTTTAGAATATAATTCTAAACATAGTTATATAGCATTGTTTAAATATTCCCCATGTAATGTAATGAGGTTACATCGCTCCTTCAGAATGTTGTAGTGTCATGTAAATGCATCATAATGCTCAGTCTATACATTCAGTTTTATAGTAATTTTTTAATATTCCCCATGTAATGTTAAATGGGGAGCTAGCCTCTAACGAGTCCCCAACAACCAGATGTTCCGGTTTTCAGGGGAAATGGAACGAGAGCCTGTGATGCGACTTCTGCTTTTGTACGTTAACAAGGCGACACTCCATATTAACACCTCCTCCACATTTACTGGATTGGTTGAACAGTGCAGATGAGAACCTCCCAACAGTTTTTTTTTCTCTTTTCATCAAGTATTGTTTTGGTATCGAGTATCATGATACTAAACCTGGTATCGAAGTCATAAATCTGGTATCGTGACAACACTAACAGAGACAGAGGACACATCAAATGAAATTATATTTGTCACATACGCTGAACACAACAAGTGTAGACCTTACAGTGAAATGCTTACTTACAAGCCCTTAAGCAACAATGCAGTTTAAAAAAATAAGTGTTAAAGTAAAAAATAGATAACTAAAAAATAAAACAAATAATGAAAGAGCAGCAGTAAAATAACAGCAGCGAGGCTATATACAGGGGGTACGGGTATACAGAGTCAATGTGCGGGGGCACAGGTTAGTCAAGGTAATTGAGGTCATATGTACATGTAGGTAGAGTTAAAGTGACTATGCATAGATAAACAGAGAGTAGCAGCAGCAGCGTAAAAGAGGGAGTGGGGGGGAAACAATGCAAATAGTCCAGGTAGCCATTTGATTAGCTGTTCAGCAGTGGTATGGCTTAGGGGTAAAAACTGTTAAGAAGCCTTTTGGACCTAGACTTGGTGCTCCGGTATCGCTTGCCGTGCGGTAGCAGAGAGAACAGTCTATGACTACGGTGGCTGGATTCTTTGACCATTTTTAGGGCCTTCCTGTGACACCGCCTAGTATAGAGGTCCTGGATGGCAGGAAGCTTGGCACCAGTGATGTACTGGGCCGTACGCACTACCCTCTGTAGTGCCTTGCGGTCGGAGGCCGAGCAGTTGCCATACCAGGCAGTGATGCAACCAGTCAGGATGCTCTCGATGGTGCAGCTGTATAACTTTGAGGATCTGAGGACCCATGCCAAATCTTTTCAGTCTCCTGAGGGGGAATAGGCTTTGTTGTGCCCTCTTCACGACTGTCTTTGTGTGTTTGGACCATGATAGTTTGTTGGTGCTGTGGACACCAAGGAACTTGAAGCTCTCAACCTGCTCCACTACACCTCCATCGATGAGAATGGGGGCATGCGCGGTCCTCTTTTTCCTGTAGTCTACAATCATCTCCTTTGTCTTGATCACGTTGTGGGAGAGGTTGTTATCCTGGCACCACACAGCCAGGTCTCTGACCTCCTCCCTCAACGTGATCAAGGACTCATCATGGATATAACCCGTTTTAGAATGGACACTTCAATTGCGGGCTTCCGCCATTTTAAAGTAGTCAACTGGTTGGGGATTCCTATGAGGGGCTCAAATCAGCCAATGAAGAAAATTCAATACTTTTAAATGGAGATGGCCTTGAACACACACGTATCTGCCTTCTCATTGGCTAGAATGGTCCCACCTGAACTCTCCTCCTCCCGTATGCCTTCCATCTTTGAGGATATGCATTTCCATTGTTAGTGCGGTCACTTGACTATCTTGTCAATAATAGACAATCTTTGGAGAAGATTTGAAATAGACAATATGGCGCTTTACACATTGTTGGATTACTTCATGGAGCATTAATTTATTTTATTAACGGAGCATTTTATAAATTCAAACGCACCATCTGCAACTGGACATTTTAGAAAAATCTTTGGGCGAATCGAGAATTAAGATAGTAGAGAAATACCAGGTTAATTGAACAAATCTCTGGCGAAGTTTTGTATCGGCAAACCTGTAACTCCCAGTAATGGATACCAAAAATCATTGGTTAAATCACATTATCTGGTGTAAGAATTCAGGCTCTGTCGTAGCCGGCCGTGACCGGGAGACCCATGGGGCGGCGCGCAATTGGCCCAGCGTCGTCCAGGGTAGGGGAGGGAATGGCCGGCAGGGATGTAGCTCAGTTGATAGAGCATGGCGTTTGCAACGCCAGGGTTGTGGGTTCGATTCCCACACTGGGTATGAAAAAAATAATAATGTAAGTCGCTCTGGATAAGAGCGTCTGCTAAATGACGTAAATGTAGCTGGCTATAAATATATGGCTCTGGGAACGACCATCCATTATTGGCGGGGTAAGGTTGTCGATTAGTTAATTCACAAACTAGTTAGCAAGTAAACTAACCATTTGCTTCACATATTTCTCGCACTGTGAATTTGTAAAGGGTATACATAGCGAACAAGATCAATTAAACAGTGAACGCTTCCTTTTCAAGTCAAAAACGACGACCCGCTAGCTAGTGTGCTGCTGACGCACTACTACTAGGCCCAGACATGCCTAGCCAAAACTAGGCCCAGACATGCCAGCAAATGTAAATTAAATCGAACACAGCTCCAACTAATCATTACAAGGGACTCACCTATGTCCAGGAAAATCGTTCTGTGGTGTGTCTGATCACTTGGGAATTAATTGTAATCCACCTTTGCAATTTTACGGGTACAACTGACAGAGCGCAAAGCCTCTTTCATGCATTGGCGTCAGGAAAGAGGTATAACGTGGTTCCAGGGACAGTACTTCTTCTTCTTCTTCTTCAGTGGGGTTTATCAGCGGTTGGCATCCAACATTATGGTGCATTACCGCCACCTACTGTACTGGAGTGTGGGCCTGAGACAGGGAGAAACTAAATCCTACCTGCCAGCCCCGTTGCTCTTAAAAAATATATATATATCTGAGACTATATCTAATGACGTTCTACTCAATATACTCTTTAAACTAATTTCCTGTATCCCCTTCTCCCTCATACTAGATCTCATCCTCTCTCTTTCCCTCTGATACTGCCCACACTGTAGCAATACATGCTCCACGGTCTCTGTTTCCTGTCAATAATCACACTTTCCTGTTGGATGCTTTCCTATCACATTTAAGGTCTTATTCAACTGGCTGTGTCCCACCCTTAATCTGGTAAAAAATAGCCTCCTCTCTTCTGTCCCTTCCTGCCGTCCTCCCCTCCCCGACTTTCCTCTGTACTTGAAATAAATGCCTTCCCTTATCTCTATTCCACTGCTCCTGCCATCTCTGCACCATCACTGTATATATCAGTCTTTTTGCCTCTGCCTCATTGAAACTTCAACATCCCCACTACTAAGTGCTTGTTTAGCCTGTTCATCAACTGCCTCATTCCCCTCCACCCCCACATGGGCTGGGACCCAAGTTAATCTTATCTGAATACCCATCTGTTTAATCCTGCCATGGGTTTGTAGCACCTCATAAAGCAGGTCTTGTCTGCTACGTGAGCTAAAGGACTGGAGACTCATTAACACTGCACATGAATCAGAGCAAATAACTACTCGGTCTTGTTTGACTTCCTCCTCCCACTGCAAGGCCAACAGTATGGCCATCAGCTCAGCCGTATATACAGCCAGAAGATCTGTCATACGTTTCCTGACTGCCACCCCACATTCCTGCACTACAAATGCTGACCCAGTATGTCCTGTTCTTGGATCTTTTGAACCATCTGTGTAAATTTTTCATACTGGCCCCCTGTGGGAATCAAACCCACAACCCTGGCGTTGCAAGCGCCATGGTCTACCAACTGAGCTACACGGTATGACGGTATTTGACGGTATTTTATGTTTTTAAATAATACAAGTTGAAAATGTGCTTTGAGTAGTGCGTGATCCTAGTGTGGCAACACATACATTCTAAGTGATTTCAATGGGTCTTTCTCTATTCTGATTGTTTTATACTGTTCAATGAAACTTCAACCAACATTTTTTCCCAGCATTTTCATCAATTTCTGCATTTCCTGCACTCATATGAGATCATTTTCACACTGCCACCTAGGGCTGCACGACATGGGCAAACAATCTAGGCCTTATTTTTAACCAAATGTTGCAATTGCAATTTGACTTGTGAGTTAAGAGCAAAATATTTGGGTGAACTGCTATAGTTATAATATAATAGTGGGCACTTTGAATACAGTGTTTGATATAACAAATGAAGATGCCAGGGAGGGGTTATTGTGACAGGATAGGAACCAAAGTGTTGACAAGTGTTTCCTAGGGGACCCTATGATATTTGGCTACATTGAACGATTTCTCTTAGCTATTTTATGTAGCTAACATATTCTTGCTTTTGGCTACATTTAAATGTTTTCTCTCATCTACTTAATGTAGCTAACATATTCTTGCTTCGCCTATTCCTCTTTGATTTAGAAGATACTGTTGCACAAAAAACATGCAGATGTTGGTCTACACCATCACTGGTATTATCAGGCTTTATAGGTAATTACGTTTGCTCTGACTACATTTATTTGGTGGCTAGCGATTAGCATTAGCGGCTAACAAGACTTACGCCCAACTTACTAAGAAAATACAAACTAGCAGTTTGCAGAAGTAAGAAACACAAACGAATAGTGTAATTATAGAATTCTAGTGGATTTATATTAAGAAGCAAAGTGAAAACAGCATCGTTGTCACTTTCATGTGATGCATTGACCATGCAGAGACTGAACGCAACTTTCTCGTGGTAGAGGAACAACAAATGCGGTCTTTGAGTGACAGGGGGCGGGGCTAGGTATGTGTGGAAAGCGGCACGGGGAGAGAGAGAGAGAGCAGAGAGAGATGACTCAAGTAGTTAAGTAAACTATAAAAATTGACGTTACACACGGTGTATCACATTTAACCAACCAAACCTTCAAATACTGTTATAGAAAGTAAAGTAAAAACCCAAACCGGTCTGTGCATCAATACCGGTATATCGTAAAATACGGTATAAAGCCCAGCCCCAGTTCAAAATAATTTACATAATTCACATGGCAGAATACAATTGAACTCTGAATTGCATGATAAAATAAAAGAATAATTCAAAACGAACATACATTCAACATACATTTAAGGAACTATTGTTGTGGATATTGTTATGAGTTGTAGGGGATGGATGATCTTTGAGCTTGTTCAGTTCTTGCTCTGACAGGTCTGAGTTCTTGTGAGTGGTGTGTTTTTCTTCCAGAGGTTGTGATGATGGGTGGTGGTAGGAAGTTCCTGTTGTCAGACTGGAGGAGATGATGGGCAAACTGGAGGCAGAGTGTTTGGTTCTTCTCTCAATCAGTGGGCAGAGGTTGAGGTTTGAGTGTGCTGATGTGTAGCTGCTGTATCATGGTCCAAGGATATTCCAGCATGCTCACTTCTGTATTTACTCCAATTGTCCAGTCACGGTTGAGGTGGGATAGTGTCATTCGGGGAAGCTGTATTCTAGTGCAGGCCCAAAGTTGCTTGTGTAGATGGTGATGAGGCCAGGTTTGGGAATGGAATCCATTTGGGAATGGAATGCCATGGGCATGTTCTACCAACTGAGCCACAGAGAACCACAAAGAGTTTCTGGATACCCTTTTCCACCTGCTGGTCCACGTCAGGTCATCCGGGATCCCAGCAGTTTAATATTAGATGTTGTTTGCAGAGTGTGTCCATTTAGGTACAGGGGTCCCAAAGGGGGTGGGTTGTTTGTAAAGCAAACATGCAGGACTATGCAATTGTTTGGGTTGAGATGCATGGAATGCTCATCCAGCTAGGAGCACATCTTTTCTAGACCGTGTTGAAGGCTGGAGAGCTGCCCCACCCTAATGCACTCTGCAATGTTCATGTCATCAATGTCTTTCCACCTGTGATCAAACTTCTGAAGTGCGCTGTCGATGAGGGCCAGGAAGATAAGGGGTCCAATAAGTGTACCTTAAGTCACTCCACAGGTCAGATGTTGCCTCGTTGAAAGGGTGCCATAGGAAATCGCCCTCTGCTTCCATTTGGAGATGAAGCTACAGACCCAGGGGATAAGGGACTCTCTGACTCCTAGCTGAATCAGGCCCTTTGTTACCACTGTAAGGTCAACTTTGTTGAAGGCTTTAGCAAAATCTGCTGTTATTATAATGCATATATAATGGTCTTACTTGCATCAGTGGATTTTACATCATGTCTAGGAGGCTGACGAAGACATCTGTCGTCAACCTGCCCTTTTTGCATCCAAGCTGTCTTGGGTCAAGCTTGTGGCCGATGTTTTGCAGCATCCAATCGGTGGCAAAACTGTCAGCCACCTTAGCTCCAGTATTCCAGAATCGTTTCAGAGTTCTACAGCTGTAATGCCTGTAGAACCATTCAGACTGTGTTCATGATGATTCTTAATTATGTTTCTTAATTATATTTACTTCTGTTTCCAAGAAACCCAAGTTCCAGATGAGAAATGAAAGCCAGAAACAGCAGAGGTTCCATTACTCACGCTGGCAGTCTACTGAAAAAAATTAATGTCATTATGACGAATACAATTCCACAGTAGCCTGTGAAGTACAATTTTTTTTTGACAGATATAGTCACAATATATGTCTTTAAAGAAAAATTATAAATGCAGGCTAAAATATAATTTTTACCTTATCTAACTCAGAACATTTTCAAATAGAATATAGCCTATAGAATATAGCCTATATTTGTGACTTTATAAGTGTATTTAGATCACATCGATAAAATGACAGGATATCTTGTGGTTCACTAAGCGGTGTCATGTATGTTACTTAGATAACTGCATCCTCGTTCCACAACCTGTTCTGCAAAATGTTATGATTTTGCTTTGATTTTGCAATCTTTCTGGACTTGCGAGAGGAAGAGCGAACTGATAATGATGTTCCGCAACCAGAAAATACAGTGGTTATCGGCTATGATTTCCTCATCCAAGCTCAACACTGCCCGAGTGGCGCAGTGGTCTAAGGCACTGCGCCACTCGGCCACTGTGCCACTAGAGATCCTGGTTCGAATCCAGGCTCTGTCGTAGCCGGCCGCGACCGGGAGACCCATGGGGCGGCGCACAATTGGTCCAGGGTATGGGAGGGAATGGCCGGCAGGGATGTAGCTCAGTTGGTGGAGCATGGCGTTTGCAACGCCAGGGTTGTGGGTTCGATTCCCACGGGGGGCCAGTATGAAAAAAATAACAAAAAATAATAATAATAATGTATGCACTCACTAACTGTAAGTCGCTCTGGATAAGAGCGTCTGCTAAATGACTAAAATGTAATGTAAATGTATAAGGTTTATCACACCCCGGGAACACAAAAAAAGTAACCCTAATGGAGTTACAGTCAGGTCCAAAATGATTGGCACCCTTAATAAAGATGAGAAAAAAACGACAGTATAATACAAATACTGAGCTATATTGTATGCTAAAAAATATGGGGAAATTATATTATTTTAGATGAATACAATTGCTTAGAGAAAAATATTTTGTTAATCAAGGCACCCGTTTTCAGTACCTTTCAATACCTCACCTTGCGAGGATAACAGCACTGAGCCTTTTCCTAAAATGTTTTATGAGATTGGAGAACACATTGGGTGGGATCTTAGACCATTCATCCATAGAGAATCTTTCCAGATCCTTGATAACCTTCGTCTGTGCTTATGGACTGCCCTCTTCACTTCAAACCACAGGTTTTCAATGGGGTTCTAGTCCGGAGACTGAGATGGCCATTGCTAAATGTTGATTTGGTGGTCAATTAACAATTTCTTTGTGGATTTTGACATGTGCTTGGGTTAACTTTCTTGCTGG